GTATTAAGGCCAGCCTTGTTCTGAATGCTACAATGAAATCTAAAAATGTTTGAAAAGAACAGATGTTTTCAACATTCTCTCTCTGTTGTCTCAACAAATTCTTGTATAATTCCGTTTTTAACACAATATTGATTGTAACATGCCTGGAAAATATGATTCTCATTAATTTGGGCTGATCTTACCCGAACATTGCAATGTATGGGAGGAATGAGCATGGAGTGAAAAACCACTAGAGAGATTCATATCAACCAGTTTTAACTGTACAAGCCATTAAACATGTAAGATTATGAAATTAATTTTAAATTTTAAAAGCTTCACAGAGTTTTATTGTGTCTCTTTTCTTCTTTGCTGCTCTTGTTTGGATTTCTCCTGTAGGGGCCTCCAAACCCTCAGCGTTCCCTCCCTCCCCACATAGGAGACAAAGAATGACAAGTGGTCTTCACTGAACTTCTTGTCCTTTACCCACATGTACAAACACAACATTAGGGTTTGATCGAATTTCTTTAGCACTGAGCAGCAGCGTAGGCCACATTGTAAATATGCCTGCACAGCTTTATTACCCGTTAATGAGAGTCATATTTTACACAAGGACTGTGTCGAGGGGCAGAGCACTAATTAGCTTTATAAGCTGTCCTGTGTGCTTCTATGGCTACGGCTCTACCTGTGCCTGTGTCTGCATTTCTTGCCGTGTGTATGTGTCTCCCTAAGTGTTTTTTCCACACCATTACCTGAATATCTGATTTGGTTTTGCATTTATTCATGTTTACATCATGATTAGCTTTCAAAATATAATTATATTTTACTTATTTTGAACCTTCACTTACAGTTTAATTAACAGGTACTGCTTTTAGAACAAACTCTAATATGCACACTTTCCTGTGTGTATCTGTCTTCCTTCAGAGTAAGTCGGTCTCATCAACAGACAGCCAGCCCACTGAGGAGCACCAAGGACCATCAGGAGGATATTCAGCCTTGCAGGGTGGAGCTGAAGCCAAGAGGAGACGCTGTGATGACAAAGATCCTATCCCTCCACACTCCTATGTATGTGTTATGCATCTTCTGATGCAGTGTTTTTTTTTTGTTTGTTTTTTTTACTGTTGCTTATCTTTCCATAAGTATGGAAATGTATGAAAAACATAAAGTGCATTTACTATCGATAAGCTTGCATTTGTAAATTATGTGTAGTTGGATGACAACTCAGAAACTCCTAATTTTCACTGTATCAGGAAATCTCCACAGTGTCATTGTACATTGCATTTGAGTGCCCTCTAGTGGTCAAACAAATATGAGCTGAAATAATCTGAAAGAAGCTGATTACATGCCTCAAGCATCTGGCATGCTGAGGTGAGTGAATCTTCATCCATGCAGCTAAATTTTAGGCTATTACTGAGTCATTGTACATTAAAGGAGAAGAGTTCACGTTCAAGTTTAAACTAAAAAGACAAGTTTTATTAAAGTTATGCTTTCATATACTCTTTTAAAAATTTTTTTACTCATTTAAGCGTGAAACTACAGAGAGTTGTGGATGAAGATGAGCAGTGGTGATCCACACAGGAAAGCAAAGAACACTAAAATCAAGTTAAATCTTCTTGGCCTAATAGCAACATGCTATATGAATGGTGTGCCAGTTTTGTCTCATTTGGCTCTTTATTGAATTACTTATCCTGCAGTATTAAATAAGAAGTTATGTATCCAAGGCAACATCTAACAAAGCTTCTGAAACACATGGCAGATATTATGTGGTATTAGAAGTAAAAAGGAAGAGTGCTGAATCAGCAGATTCTGCTGAAAAGAATCGAATCTAAGCAAGTCAGAGATCTCTCACCAATCCAAACCTTAAAATCTAATATGGTTGCATCATATAAAAGCATTCTTGCCTACATCAAATACCTGTTTTGACATCTTAAGAGAAAGCACTGTGATGGTACACACTCTCTAATATATGTGTTCGTAAGATGGTGTGTTTAACAGATTGCCCATGACACTAAAGACCAAGAGGGGGTCTAGAGCCTGTCGTCGTTTAGAGTCGTGTTTGGTTTGGATGGGTCTGCTGGGGCGAAGCGAGCCACCATAGGGGATGTAATGCCAGAGGAGAGGCAGCCAAGGCAGATAGCTGTAATGAATAAGATGGCTGTGTGTTTGCAGGCTTGAAGATTGATTGACACAAGGAGTTTGTCTGGAGAAGACTGCCTCTAGGAAAATCCATTTGGCATCAACCCCAACATTCCAAATCTTTCCTATTAGCTTGGAGAGCGAAACAAGCAGGGATAGCTTCAGTTCTGCGAATGTCTTTCTGCCTTTCTGTCTGTCTAGATGTTTTTTAAACCTTATTTCTTTCTGTCTGCCTGTTGGGCCAATGGATTTTACTTGATGTCTTTTAAGATATTATATACTATTTTGGATTTTTCACAGTTATCATTGTATCTTTCCGTTTACTTTAGTTTCCTCTTTTCCATCCTGTCCATATGTCCATCCTGCAGCTTGTGTTCTTGTTCCAGGAATACACTGAATGACTTGTCTTGTTTGGGCTCTGCATAATTAGGTACTGATGTCAATTGAAATATCAGACCACAATCACATCAAAGCGTAGTTGCCATGGTGACTAAGTGCCATCATTCTCACTCCAAAAAAAAAGGAGGAAAAGAGAGAGAGAGAGATGGCTGGATGAAAAACAAAACAAAAAAAATATGCACACTTAGCTTTACACTATGGATAGTGTAAAGCTAAGTGTGTGCGTCTGCAGATTATCTGAGATAAAAAAAAGGAGTTTGTACAGAAAATATGCTTGGTGTGAATATAAGATACAGTATCTCTGTGTTTAATGTTGCATGGAGGACAGACAGTGCAAGGAAGCAAAAATCAGCCAAGGATATTGATTTATTGATCTGTGTGTGGACCTGAGCAACTGTGCATGTCTTCCTTTAATAAAGCTCTCTATTTACAAGTATGGGCCATTGTACCATGGGTGCTGGGAAAAAAAAGCCCTTTTTCACGTCCTCTTTCTATCTGCAGGACAGTGATGGAGACAAAAGTGAGGACAATCTTGTGGTGGACGTCTCCAATGAGGTAAGTTGCAGCTCTAGAACTGATAGCCTCATCCTTACAGCATGATCAGCTCACTCCTCCCATCAGCTTTTTCAAGACTTGCAGAAAGATTCAGTATATTGATTCCCCCCACCCAGCACTTATAAACCAGTTTTGGGGTGCAGCAGATGGCTGTTTCATGTTCAAAAATGATTTCTTGATTTTAACGCGCAGAGAAAATTCTCAAGACTTAAGATTGTTTTAGCGCATACCTTTTTGATCACAACTGAGTCTTGAATAGTCTTTATTCCTATATATATACATATATATATATATATATACATACATATATATTTGTATGTATATATATATGTGTGTATGTATGAATGTATGTAGGAAAAAGGCTGAATCATGTTAGAATGATCTTCTCTATATCTATTTAATCAAATGGTTGAAGTGTTATATTTAGTATTATTTCATGCTTAATATCCATCTAAATAACTGCAGGGATATGACTATTTGTGGTTTTTATATAATCTACCATAACCACAAACGTGTTCATTTAAGTGTTGTTTGTGAAAATCTTTATAGATCTAGGTTATATAACCTTAAAACCTGTAAAAAAAAAAAAGGATGCAAATGTGTCACTAAAAACTTAAATTAATAAGGCAGCCATGTTAACAATGTTTCGACTTGTGCTGTACATAAATTTACTTTGTCAGATTAGAAATGGGTTGAAGATCCTGTATCTCCTTCAGGCAAAGGTTATTGTCATACACTTTGATGTGCGAGATGCCAGATTTTTTACTTTGATTAATATGTATTTATAAGTAAAAGTTTAATGTTGTTTTCATTTTGTTACATTAAAAAGCAAATAGCTAAACGTTCAAAAAAATGCAAGTGAATATAAAAGCATTCATTGGGTTTTGTATAAATGGTGATTTTAGGATATTCAGAACCAACCGGATAATAATTTCATCTTTCTGCACACTTTAGTTAAAGTGTACAGTTTTTGTTTCGCCTGATTTCCTGCTTCGTGTTCTCTGTGAGCGTGTCTGGGGAATGTGAAAGGAGTCAGCAGGTACGCTGCTCGCTCAGCTGTCCGCTGCAGTTTCCTTGTAAATAGGGAGAACTCTTGTGTAAGCTCATTATCAGCTGCCACTGTTTGTGCTCTCTGCTTGTGAAACACGTTCACGCACACATGCCCACACACCGACACAGCACATTCACAAATGCTTTCCCCATCGCCTCGAATCTATCTCCTCAGAGGGTGCTTTTGTCCTCCTTCTGCACTCATGAGGCCTCTGTTCTTTCCTTATTCTGCTGTCTTCTTTTCTTCCTCCTTTTCCTGTGTGCTCCCCACTTTGCCTCCTCCTCTCATTAGATAACTACAGTCTAGTTTGTTAAATATATGCAAAGCCATATAAACCCTTGGAAAATTTGAGTTTTTTAAATACTTCTCGCTGAGTACCAAAATTTGTCTTGTGTATCTTGATTTCGCCAACAAAAGCAGAATTGGTCTCTTGTGTGCTTTAAAAACTGATGCAAAAGCAGGTAGAAAAATGAATCCAAAAAAATATTGGCTATGGAGCAAAAAGAGAATACTTGTTCGCAATAGAGACTCTACATGCACGTGTGTGTGTGATTGTGCACAGTCTCCAAAATGACTGCTGATCACTGTGACCAACTGTGAGAGCTCTTTTTGATTCAGCTCCCTGTTCTGGAGGAGGCAGCTCTGGCTCATCAGTGGCTCTGCTGATGAAAGCTGCTGTAACATACAACAGTACCTCCAGGTCCACATACAGCTTCATCCACACCAGAGACAGTCGCTGTTTTGTTTGTAATTTACACTAAACCCACATTACCTTTAAAGTCCTAGGATTCACTATTATGGTACATCTATGTTGAACATTTATTGCACAGCAAAATATGCAAATGATTTAGGTAGTATTGATGGTTGACATCCACATGGATTCATCTTGTAAATGTATTGTCTCACCCACTTTAATCACTTGGCATTTTTTATTATGGGTTATTTTTTATTAAAACTGTTTTGTTTATATAAGTAAAAATGATAAGATGCTTTTTTTCATTATTCTCAGCAATTCGTCATATTGTATTTTACCTGATTTACGGCATGTTGAGAAAAAAGTTAGTTGGTGCATTTTATTATATTAGAATGTGACACCAATTTCAGTTTCTCAGAAATGTTTTTTTAAAGGGACCAATAAAGTAAAGAAATATTGGCTTGCTAAAAAAGTATGTCTCTGTATTTAATGAACTCACATTCTTTGGCTTTGAAGAAAATGGCAAAAACCGTATTGATGTTGAAATAAAGCAATATTTTTTCCTGATAGTGTTTAGTTGGTCCTTTTTTAACCTGAAATAAAGTGTGCACCAAGCTTGATCAGCAGATATAAAGGTTGTTAATTGCATCCTTTGGCAGTAGTGGACAGTAGTAGAGGTGCTGACAATACCTCTCTGATATCCTGACAGAGTCACTGCCATGACTTTTTGGACATGAGTTCTATTCAGGAATAGAATCCAGCTGGAATCAGCTGGATTGTATGAAGATAAAGCATGAGATGTTTACACATGGTTTTATACATATCACATTTCTGCTGCACCACAAGTTTTAAAATCTCTTGCAAAAAAACAACTTTTAGTATTTCTCTATTTACTTTTATGGTAAATAGAGAAAATCATAATCATCAAATTTAACTAAAAAGAAGTGCTTCATTATATAGAATAAAGCTAGGTACTTTTTGAAATTGAGTTACTACAAAAATGTGACTTTTGGATCATAATTTGATGTGCATCTGTACCATAATATGTAGCCTCATTTTCAGGCTCTATACATGGGTTGTTGTGGAAAAGCTTTTGCAGTTTTAGATGGAATTCTGCAAACATCAAATGTTGCACTTTATTCTTCTTTGGTTAGATAACTTTTACATTTGACTTGTTTTGCACAGACTGTCAGAAATGTTAAAAATTGGACCATTTTGCACAGCTTTACTGCTGTTTTATAATGGAGAGGGATAATCAGCCTTTGAAACCCACCCACTCATGGTAACGATATATATATATATATAGATAGTGAAATATAAAATATATATTATAATATAAATACAGAGTTCTATCTTCCCAGCTGTATTAATCTGTTTAGAAATTAGTCGCTTTAGAAAGTTGATCAGGCAGTTTAGTCAGCTTAATGTCCAGTATTGCTTTAAACTCACAATAGATCCAAGTTGATTAAAAATCAAAATTTCTTCTTGGTTAAATCAACAAGATGTCAACTTTGATATTAATTACATATCTTACTTTGTAATTTAGGAGCCTAACTCTCCCACCGGCAGTCCGCCTCATTCCCCTCATGGGAACGGGCTGGACCGGGCCCCGACCCTGAGGAAAGAGCTGCCTGGTTCCTCGAGCACAGGTGAGGCACCTTCCACGCCAAACCCACGCAGCCCTACCCCAGGGAAGGCCAAGGACCCTGCCCAGGTGAGATATAGCTCAGAGAGCACCTGCACTCAGCTGTTGTCCTAAAGTGCTGTATTTTGTGTGTTAATGTATAGTTAATGAAATTCATAATTTTCTTTGATGGTAGAAATACATTTTTTTCACAGTGTCCTAAGGGTTCTGTATTATTATTTGTCATACAAAATGTCCTTGTATTTTGCTTTAACAAAAATGAAATGTTTTTTTTTTTTTTTTTCAAACCATAGCAATTATACAGAAATGTTTCTGTTTAACTTCTCACCTGCACTTCAATGAGGTATGTGACCTAAATCACTCTGATGAGAGCGTTAATGACCCATCAGAACCCCCTAATGACCATTAACCCCCACCAGGCGACCTCCATGGCCAATGCAATACGCCACCTTTTGTTCCCCCTAATTCTTTGTTCCACCTACAGTAATAATCTCAGTGCTCCTTCCAGTAGTTAGAACTGAAGAAGCCTGTTGGATGAGAGCCGAAATGTCTTCTAGGAAACTTCACGTCCCGTTGCCTAAACTGAACCTTTTAAGCTTGATTATGACCTAGATGACTGAGAATCACCACATATTTGAAACCTCTATTAAACTTAATCCAGCAATACTTATTAATATGTTTTAAGTGTCGTGTTAGGACAGCTTCAGCTTTAGGTAAGGACATTCTTTGGTTATTTTGATTGTTTGATGTCCCCACAGATGGATAAATCCCAGTCTCCACTGTCTAAGTCTGGCACCCCGTCCCCATCCCACCGTGAGGCCCTTACCCCAGGATCAACAGGAGCCCCTGGAGCTCCAGGCCCCAGCACCTCCTGCCTTCGCCTTGTCAGCAAAGCAGCAACAAGTGCTGACCCATTAGGTAAGAATCATCAAGTAGAAACTCCAAACTAAAACCTGCAGGTGATAATAGAACAGAAAAAACAACAACAAAATAAAAACACTAAAACAAGCAAGTATCAAATACACACCTCATATTTGGAATGTACATATATCTTATTATATAGTAAAAAATCGTAATACAATATTTTTCAAATGGATCCGCATTAACAGGTCGGAACTTTGGTGGGATGGGCCCAGCCTGTCCTCTATCTCATGTTATTCCTCATCTATGACACAATGATACATGATTTACGTGCTTCTGGATGCTGTGTCCTTTGTTCAGCACTGAACTTTTGTTTCTTGTTCTCCTAATAGATGGTTAACATCTGCTCCAGTCTCTAACAGCTTTTCTTAAATTATTAACCTGTATGTAGCTTCATCAGTTTCATATCAACTCTTACCAGCTCCTATGCCTTTGCTCAGACATTGAATCTCCACAGAATGATGATGCCATCCCCGTGTTTTACAATGGGATGATATGCTGTCCTCTCAGCACAATCTTCCATCAGAGCTGTGGGTTTCTGCAGCTAACCCCTGGATGATTTTTAGGTGCTGTACGATATTATTGCAACCTTGTCAGTGGACTTGATTGGCCAGGTCCTATTAGATTGAACGTGGTCCCGTATTCTCCTGAGAACTGATAGAGCTGTGCTCTGGGAAGTGTTCAAAGCTTGGGATATTTGTTTTTTTTTTATCAAATCCCTCTTCAAACTTCCCCACAACTTTATCCCTGCTGTGTTCCCTGATCTGGATGATGCAGTTTGTTTTCCAGTAAACTGTTAAAGCCTTCTCAGAACAGCTGGATTTAGCCCGTGATTAAAATACACACAAGTACCATTTATTTGCTAAATCTTATTGAAGGCTACAGTTCTCAAGCTTTTATATCTTAATTTTCTGAATATTTTTTTAATTTCCCTCTATTTCCTAGTTATTTACAACTTTCTGTTGGTCTTGTATATAAAATATAGCTTCTTTTCCCAGGCACTGTATGAAGGAGGAAATATTTTATTCTTCTCTGCCCTCTGTGACTGTGTTTGTATGCTACATGTGGTTCCCTGTACCTTCAACCGCTCCCTCCTCTTTCCCTGCCTCCCCAGCTCTCCGCAGTCCCATGTCTGTGCCCCCTGGTTCATACCCGGCTCATTTTGGCGTGGTGTCCCACGCAGGGCTGAACGGGGAGCTGGCCAGCCCCGGGGGATTTGGAGGAGCTCTGACGCTCTCTCCGCAGATCAGCGCCGCTGCCGGTGCCTACTCCCGTAGCCCCATGGTGAGCAAAAAGACCAAATTATTCTTTTCTGTCAAGGTTTGATTTATGATTCAGATCCAGCCCTCCCGACTTTCTCGGTTCTGCTGAAATATTTGATGAATCGTCTCTGCATTGTCAGTGTCCATGCAGTGCATTCATTATACTCTCAAAGTTGTCATGTTTACACTGTCTAATCAAGTTTCTTAGAGAGAAACAGTTGTAAGGAAGACAAAGTTTAGGAGTGTTAGCCTCTGACAGGATGTTTTCCTATTTAACATTCCTACAGTCATTCTTAACCGACTGTATTATATTTCTGAGCAGTTCAAATGAGCTCAAGTTACTTTCCTGATTTGGTCAAATGGCCAGTTAGTAATGCTGTGGTAAATATTTTTGATCTATTGAAATAACTTTTGGTGCGTTCCCCCTCCACCATCTAGGTGGCATTTGACTCTCGGTCTCACTTAAGAACACAGGGGCTGTCCTCCTCCCTTCCTGGCTCCTCTGGTGGCAAACCGTAAGTATATGTTCACATTATTTAAAAGCTTAGATGTAAGCATGCTGAATAAACTTGACTCCAACTAAGCAGAGGCAAAGCAGAGCAAACAGAAAACAATGAATCAACATGTTTTAAATTCTTTTACTGGAAGCTAATTTTATTCAACAATTGTTAGCATCTGTTGTAAATAATGGCAGAAGGCAGAACAAATAAAAAAAATGCATTTCCTTTGCTCACACGTTGCTGCACACTGTCAGTCAGGTGGCTGAAAGAGTCTGACATGGTAACATGTTGATTTTCATGCTGTCAAAGCTATTTGCTAATGCCGCAGTGGTCTGTTGCCCTCTAGCTTTTATTTGAACATGTTAAAGTTAAGTTAAGCCTTAATCCAGAATTGCTGCTACTTTAACCGCAGCAAGCGAGGGGTGATGTTTAGCAGATCATGATTCATAGACAAAGACATTGTGCACTTGTCTTAGTAAAAGTGTTTCTTCATCCAGATACAGTAAAGATTGGCAGCTGTTAGGATTTTATTCGGTACAGTTATGTTATCTTTGTTTTAAAAGGTTTTATGTATTTAAACCTGAATACAGATACTATTTGATGATCAAATGAAACACAGTAATGCTAAAGGTGCTCTTCCACTGCAACCCAGGGTGTTAGTAGACATCCTTTTATCTGTAGGCATGTGTGACATAACAGGACTAACTTGCTTAAATGACCACAAAACTGAATACAGATGAAGGATTCTGAATAAGATGCACATTCCCTAACTCATTTTAAAGAAATGTAATTAACTCACCCAGGGCAGAATAGAACTTTAGTTGGTCCTTTGTCCCAATATCTTCATATTCCATCTTTGGATAGGTGCTTAAAGTAGTCTTGTTTAATATGGGTGGAAAAATTACACATTTTCCTGCTGCTATGCCACCTGCCCACTATTGGTCGCCAAGTTAAAGCAATTGTTTTGCCCATCAGGGTAACCTATCTCCAGCAGCCATTTGGCGAGAAGCGGGGAACACCCTTGACAGGTCGCCAGTCCATTACAGGGCAAAACAGACACGCAGGAAAAACGCATGCAGGCGCATTCATAGGAACAATTAAGACAGACCAATTAACCTGACAGACATGCTGTCAGTCTGTGGGAAGTGCCTGTGTTACCTGCGGAGAACCCTCACACATCCACAGGGAGAACATGTGAAACACAAAAAGACTATAAGACAGAATTCTAACCCTGGATCTTCTTGCTGCAAGGCTAAAAGAATGCAACCCTGAAATTCTTCAAGCTGCTCTATTGATCATTCTGGTAACAAAGTGAAAAATAAAATAGCCATCTTTACACCTGCTGACCAGCAGTGCACAGAAACAGATCAGGGAGTGAGGTGGTTAAATAACTCTAAGATTTGACACCGTCTGTGGTGATTCAGTAAAATTACATTAAAAAGTTGAAACAGAGTGATGGAAAGTTTTTGTGGTTTTAAAAATTTCAAAGCTTTTTACTTTGATATCAATAAGCTGCCCTGGAGAAGGAGCATGCATGTCTATAACACATTTGGCTGCAGGCTGGATGTCAGAGCAGATAGCCTGAGAAATGTTGAGAGCGAAACCCATATTTACAGGAGCAGATGTTTCATAGTTTCTATAAAGATGCAAGTAAAAGTAAAAGCTCTTTCACCTGTATGCTGACAGCATGCTGGGTTTTCTAGGAATAATGACAACTTTGATAGATCATTGGGATACTATCACATGTGCTGTTTCAGCACATGTGATAGAAATCTTTAAATTTACCACATTTACAGACAGTCTTTAAATTCTTTATATAAAAAAGATTGTTGTTCTTAAATGTAAATTCATAGTGAAACTAACTTTTCCATTTTCAGAGTCAAATCTGTCTTTCCTTGTAGTATGCTGAATAAAAAAAAAAGGTCATTCTAAATTTAAGAAATGTTTATGCATATAAGGAAGCATGTGCCACATTCCTGATGTTAAACTTAAAACTTCCTGTAAGCTTGTTTTCTGAGCGACCACTAAAAGCACAGTTACACTTTTTATGTTGTCTTTCCAGAAACAGACATTGTGATATTATTCCTGTGTCTTGCAGAGCAGCAATTCATTCTTGTGCTGCTAATTTAAAATCCTAAAACAGGCCTGGCCTCCTGCCACTACACTATTGATCGGCCATTAGCAGTACCACATAGCCTCTGCACCTCATACAATCTGCCATTATGCATTTGTGCCCACAGCTGCTCTGAGCTCACTCGTTTGCCCAAATTTGAGCAAATATAAGAGTTTGCAACTTTCACTCTGTAAGGTTTGTGCATTTAATTGTTGACCTTTGCTTTCATGTGCTCATTGATCGATTGATTTCTTCTACTTTCTTGGTGCATTTTACTCTAGTCTCCTTCACATCTTTGTTCTTTTTTGTTTGTTTCATCCTGAAGAATAGTGTTTTCAGTTTTCCTTTTCCTATTCATCTTCCCAGAGCCTACTCCTTTCATGTCAGCGCAGACGGCCAGATGCAGCCGGTGCCGTTCCCCCCTGACGCCCTCCTGGGCCCGGGGATCCCACGTCATGCCCGTCAGATCCACACACTGAGCCACGGAGAGGTAGTGTGCGCCGTCACAATCAGCACCTCCACTCGTCACGTCTACACAGGAGGAAAGGGCTGCGTCAAGGTGTGGGACATCAGCCAGCAGGGAAGCAAGAGCCCCATGGCCCAGCTGGACTGTTTGGTGAGACATGATGAATGAGTGGTGAAATCTGATGCTTCTTTTAGAAAACGGTCCTTAGATTGATATGATTTTTTTTAACAAAAATAAAAAGAAGAAGTAAAAGAGACTTCTTGGATAAGCAACCTTAGAACATAATATTTCTGGTCTTTTAATATAGCTGTGTGGAATAAAAGCCATTCCATTGTGTGGATATTCATTCTCTCATGGTTTCCTTTTTTCTTTAGAGTCTCTCCTCTACAGCTCTTTACAGAAACTTTTAAATCAAGTTAACACATATTCATACTCTACCTGAACTTAGCAATTCATTGATTATTTGGAAGGATTTAGATTTTTCTCAACACTGATGCTTCTGATAGAGACATTACAAATGCAGTGCAATGACCTCCCCCTCCTATGTGTGTGTTTCACTAAAATAGAACTGTCATCCCCATTTTAACTAATATATCAGAATTAAAACTGTGGGAATGATTTTACTGGAAGAAATGTAAACATTTGTAAATTTGCAAAATGTCTAAGAGATACTATGTTTTTTTGTAGTAGATAATGTAACTTTTTTTTCTTATACCTTAATGAATCAGAACAGGGATAACTACATCCGTTCCTGTAAAATCCTCCCCGATGGTCGAACCCTGATCGTTGGAGGCGAGGCCAGCACTCTGTCCATCTGGGATTTGGCCACACCGACTCCACGCATCAAGGCGGAGCTGACGTCGTCTGCTCCAGCCTGCTACGCCCTGGCCATTTCACCGGACAATAAGGTCTGCTTCTCCTGCTGCAGCGACGGCAACATTGTCGTCTGGGACCTGCACAACCAGACCCTGGTCAGGTATGTTTGAAGATGAATTAAAATACTTCAGTTTCAATATGAATGTCATTGAAGAGGCTAAAACATAGAGGTATGATCATAACATAAAGAATGAATGCCGATAAATGTGCTTTGAAGAACAGAAAGAGATTAAAACAACCAGGTTTGGCATGTCAGGAAGGGGGGGGGACCGTGCTGAGGTAAGGCTCACAAGAAGTGCCAGGAAAAAAAAAAGGATCATGTGTGGGTGGGCTTAGGGCAGTAAGTGCTGCAGGGAGAGAGGGTATGAAATATATTCATTCTGACACCTCTGGCAGAAGAGAAGCAAAGAAACACAGTCTGCAAGATTTCTGTGTATGCAGGTGTGTGTTTTGTGTGTGTGTGTTGGTATGTTTTATATTCTCTGACGAGCTTGTGTGTGTTTCATCTCTGCAGGCAGTTCCAGGGCCACACAGACGGAGCAAGCTGCATCGACATCTCCAATGATGGCACCAAGCTCTGGACGGGAGGGCTGGACAACACGGTCCGCTGCTGGGACCTCAGAGAGGGCCGGCAGCTGCAGCAGCATGACTTCACCTCACAGGTAAAAAAAACAACAAAGAAACTCAGATATTCATGCACAAAAAAACATAAAACTTCACAAACAAAGCAACTTTAGTTATTTAGAAGAGACGTTCAGATGAACGTCTAAATGTATGCAGAAAATAGAACTTTCCCATGCTGTACGAAAATGTTTTAGGAGGAAGAAAAGGGAAAACATTTCATCAAAATAAATCTTTTTTAACCTTTGATCATGTTGTGGGATTTGTCTAGCAGTCTGTAGCACAGGAGAGAGAACAAGTAAAACGGACCGGGACTATTTCAGATCTGGTTTTGTAACGCTTTAAACCACTGATTAATAGAAATATGGCTCAACCCCAGATCAGTCCTGCTTAGCTTAGTAGGAAACATTCATCTAAGGGTCTCAGAGGCCATCTTTTGAAAATACCGTCAGCCATGGGTTGTTAGCCAAAAGGTTAACATTACTAATGCAGCACCCTATTCCTTAGAAAACTTAAATCTTACCTGTTGACTGAAAAGTTTTTCAATATTTCCATAGCTGATATTTGCCATGGTAAGCGGAGGATAAAAAATTAAAAGGTTGAAACAAATCACCATGACCCTAATTGATCTAATTTGTTTCTATTCCAGTTTTCTCTTGGAGATTTGCTCTCTTCTTTTGCAAATACTTCATGCAAATCTGGACTACTTTTGACTTAACTTTTAGTCTCAACGTTTAGCGCTTTTCAGACAAGCATACCTACCTGCAGCCTCAGGCACAGTTGCCAACGTGTTACTTTTATAAGCAATTTTTCAGACGCCTTTTTTTCCCAACACAGTGACCAATCTAGTGACTTTTTTTTCTATGTTGTTGGAAATTCTTTAGACAAAAGTGAAAGCACCGTGCAAAGCTTTTCCCTGCCCCCACCCTGTCTTCTCTAATATATCCACCTCCATCTCCTATTTCCCAGATCTTTTCTCTGGGCTACTGCCCCACAGGCGAGTGGCTGGCTGTAGGGATGGAGAGCAGCAACGTGGAAGTCCTGCATGTCTCCAAACCCGACAAGTACCAGCTGCACCTCCATGAGAGCTGCGTCCTCTCCCTCAAGTTTGCATACTGTGGTGCGCACAAAAACACATACCTTTTTATTTTATTTTATTTTTTTTAATCCTGCACTTTTGCTGCCTTGAAGATTTTAAAGAACAGCTTGGACATCAGCCCTCTCTGTACTCTTGGTAACACACTGTGCTGTGTTTACTCGCTATTTCAGGAAAGTGGTTCGTCAGCACAGGCAAAGACAATCTGTTGAATGCATGGAGGACACCATATGGAGCAAGCATTTTCCAGGTGAGAGTTAAGCTCTGAGGCTGTATGTGATGTATACAAGTTAGATACTTTGCTTATTTGGACCCTACATTTAGTTCTTGATTTGGAAAATGGTTAGAGTTCTTACATTTTTTGGTGACATGCATATCAATCAGCATATATGCACAGATGCAAAAGAGAATTAACATTTTAAATCCAAAAGAAAACATGCAGGATGCCACACATGAACAAACACGCACAAACCAGCGTTGTAATTCCACCTTGTCCAGGTGCTGCAGTATCTTCAGCTGAGCCAATTCATCTGGGTATGAATGAAACAAAAAAAGGGAGATGATTTTCATGTGTGTTTGTATGTGTGCTGAGCAGCGTGGCTGTCATATTTGTGTAATCTACCGTGGGCAGCAGGGTTGGCGGCTCCTGTCTCTTTCTGGACTGAGAGTAGAAGGCGGGCTATCTCACTTTGTTATCCAAATGCCAAACTCTGCTCCTGCCAAACAGCTCCCTCCTCAGCATGTTATACAGAGCAATTCCCTCCTCCCCCGCCTTCTTCCTGCTTAATGCTGTCCTTTTCTGTTTCTGTCTCCTTGTGTTTCTTTGAGTCTCACTCTTCTTTCTCCTGGTAGTAATTGTTTTTAATATTTCACTTTGAATTTTCTCCCCAAGTTTCTTTAAACAATGTCTTGATAGATTTTTACCCCCCCATCTTATTATAAATCCATTTTTGTTGCTTTTTTTTATTACTTTACTTCATCCCTTTTTCTTTTACTTTTCAGTTTTGGTATAGGTGAAGTTTTCAATTTTAACTCAAGACAGCTCTCAAAAAGCACATTTTATCAACCAAAGCTGCTAAATCTCTTTGTTTCCACAATTTTGAGATTGTTTCAATGCTATGTAATAAGTTGAGTAACCTACGTTTAATTAGCCCCCTATAGTTTGCGTTCTACGCTTTTAGTTTTTTGCTTTTTCACTGGTGCACAATATTTGATTGATTATCTTACTTTAACTCTAAATAAAATACATTAGCCCACTCATTTCTATTGTTCTTTTGTTGTAAATAGTTTGTAAAACGTTTTCCTTCCATTTTATTATTTGGAGGCATTTTTCCACCCAGTAACATGGTGGCTAATAAAAATTAGCTTAAAGCATTGTAGACACTTAAAAAAAAACTTTTAACCAAGTTCTGCTGCCTATCAAAGATTTACAACTTAACATATTGCTTAAGGAATTGATAGTCAACATGAAAAGCTGGAAATGACTTCTATTTTAATTGAAGCAAGGGATCAGAAAGTTGTATTTATTATATAATCCAGTAGGGGGTGTGAGATCTGTTGTGCTAAAAGCATGACTGTATTAAAAAGGTTTATTTTGTGATTAATACTGCAGGGTGTGTAATTATTTATAATAACGTTTGTTACTAAATATCACAAATAAACTGCTGTAATCAAATTCAGGAGTTAAGGTCTGTGTGGCTATGTAATATTTGGAATATCAATTTGGAGTCTGTAAGTCCCACCTCTAGCTTATATACTCAAAATTCTTATATAATAGCAAATTATTTATTCGGAGTAATTTAGACAGGAAGTATCGGAGCCAATTTTAACTCAGTCACCATGCAGAATGCTTTGCGGTTAAAAACTTTTTATCGCTCCTTAGACACACTATCCCCCATGGGGATGCATGGTAGTAGCAGCATCATGCTGTGGGTATTTTATTTTTTTCCAGCATATATTAAAAAGTTGGTCTTTTGATGGGATGATGGGAAGTTGAATGAACCTGAATACAGGTCAAACCTATGGTGGTCAGAAGTATTAGCCTGTAGGGACAGAGGGGGTTTAGATATAAAATAATGAATCGTGGGTCTGAATCCATATCAAATAAACTTTATCTTTGCTTTCCAAAAAAAAATGTGTGCAAGTTCGACATAACTTTCTTTAAATTGATGGAAAAGCATAATCTGGTACATTTCTAAAGACCTAAGTCTTCTCCATTTCATACAAATGTGTTTGTATTCTCTTTAACAACTGTTAGAAACGTAAACATTTAGGTCTAATGTTTTTCTTTTCTTTTCAAATTTCTCTTTGCTTTTTTCTTTGAAACTGTCAGCACATTTTTTTCCCTCCTGGCCTTCTCTATTCCCGCCTTCTGCTGTCTTGATCTAATATGAGGATTCCTGTGTGAGACGCCCTCTCCCTGTGCACTGACGATTGACAGCTCCAACGTGCATGTAGCAGGAGAGGGTGAAAGAGTGTAGAGAGTCAGCAGGAGTGAGGAGAATCAGTGATGAATATAGGGAGAATGACTGATGATGGAGCAGTTTTAGATTACCACAAACAAGGTGCACATAGGAAAAGGAGGCCATGTGTGTTTCGGCAGTTTGAGGAAGCCTCTAGTGTTCTTTTGATGATTGAACCTGATTTTAGAGAGGCTAGGAAGGAGGAAAAAAACAGCAGACAAAAAAAAAGGCAGTATCCTAGAGCTCCAGAGCTTTTCTGTTTGGAGATAATTGCCAACTGTTTTGATATGCAAATATGTCTCATGTGATAGAGGATTAAGTGATGAGTCATGTTTAATTCTTCCCTAACATTTCTTTCTCTTTTCTTTGTTTTTCTCCATCTGTCACCATCCCTCGAAAATGCTCACAGTCCAAGGAGTCGTCATCTGTGCTGAGCTGCGACGTCTCCCCAGACGACAAATACATAGTGACGGGCTCTGGGGACAAGAAGGCCACTGTGTACGAAGTTGTGTATTAATGAATAGGAGGACAGAGGAGAAAAAACAGGTTGGGAGGGGATCTTTTTTATTATTTTGAGTGGGAGGTTATGCATCCACCCCACCCCATCCCGTATATTATCAACACCACCATCCGCCTTTATCTTCTTGAATCATCACTATGCCCCCTTGTTTTGCTGTAATATAAGATGCTATAGTTGTTCCCAGATGTCTCCACACCCTCCCCTTCCTCCACGAGGTTTAAGCTCATTGAAAGAGGCGTGATAGCTGAGAGTGAGGCAGAATGAGAAAGAGCAAGATAAGAAAGACAAAGGGAAAAGGGTGGTGGAGTGTAAAGATAAAGTTGTGAGGAGAAAGGGGGGAGAAATGAGTAGAGGGAGCGATAGTGCGGAAGGAAGAGAAATTAAATGGGGGGAGGGGGTAATTAAGGCTGTTTCCTGATTAAGAGCTCAGTGGAAGGGAGGCCCCCGGAGGAGGTGCGGAGCGGCACTGTGGGAGTGCCAGCCAGGAGCACTGATACCACACAATCGATTCATTAGCCAGACAGTGGAGGCCTTAATGAGGCTGACGCTGAGGCTCTGTCTCCAAAGCGAGAGGTGTCAGGAGCCAGGGAGCAATGACGACGCGAGATGCTGCGGATTTCCACATAAACTGACATGAAAACCTGCTCGACGCACAGAGCCGAGAGTACAAACACTCAGTTACATCCCCCCTGCCGCTTGAGGTAAACTTATGACGGGGAGGAAAAACACACAACACACCAAGCTCCCAATTAAACATTCATCCCAACGCCTTGCTTCATCTTTCTGCTTAATATCTATTTTATTTTGGTCTGACAAAGGCAGCAGCCTAATGAGCAGGGGAGTCGATGGGATTCTCCCAGGGCCCGGAGACATAAACACAACATCAGCCGATCCGTAGCCTCTAATTCCTCCGGATTGTACTCCTGACATCCAGCGCCATGCTTACTCTCATTAAAAGGCACTGTCAGCTAGATGAAGTAGCAGCAAACCAAGCTCACTGTGAGGCACACTAGAGGGCGAATTAACACCATGCATTTACACCATCATCAGCAGCTAACTAAGCAGTGACTAATCAGATTCTGTTTAAATTTAAAGCAACTAGTCACTGTTTTCATTTCCACGCAATTCCTCATCTCTATTTCTACCTTGTTATATAACCAATTATTATTTTTTAACTAGACTAAACACCTTAAGGACATTCAGAAGTTTAAATGCCTGCACCACTCTGTCTGTAAGCTGTGTGGAAATTGGCTAAGTCCACAAAATGAAAGACTCTTTTATCTGAGTGCAGCACACTGTGTCCAACAAGTGCTGCTAAGATCACCAATTAGAATGCTGTATCTTGTTTGTATGATCCTTGGAAATGCCAGAGTGTGAAAATAAATTACCACTCTTACATGGTTTGGAACGGTTGCCTTGACAACCTGTGGCATTGCAGGAAGTTTGTGGTTGTGTCCGAAAAACAGCTCGGCTCAAAATTAACCTCTTTTTCTGTTTTAAATAAGCCCTCAATGTGCTTTTTGTTGAATTTTAAAAAAATAGATCCTGTATCTTAGACTGAAGGGGAGACGGGTCGTTTATGGATTTAGATTTTTTAAATTGAATCTTCGCTGGCGATTGTGAGCAAGTCCAAAAATCCCATTAGCATCTTTAGCAGCTCAGGATCCAATCTATTACAGCCTATTTTGTAGAATTATCCTGTCGTGGGCTACTTTACAGTATCACCAAAAATTTCTAGAACATAAACATCAGGATTGGAACTTTGGAAATGCTCTTCTAATTGGTTGCAGAATGATTTAGCATTTCAGTCACAGCACTGAGGAGCTTCTTAAGAACATAAGGGATTGCTGAAGAGTCAATGAGTCGATGCAATCAACAGGTTTTCCTTAGATAGGAAACTTTGAATCAATTGGACTGTATGATCTGGTGAACTGTAAAGTGCCTTGAGATGACATGTGTTGTTAATTGGTGCTATATAGATAAACTGAATTGAATGTTTCAGGAGCAGAGGCCCATTTCACAAAGCAGGTTTAACAAATTCAGACTCAAATCCTCAAGTCTGAATTGATCTAGACTAAGGTTGAAAACTTTCACAAAAGCTGCTGTTTATAATCAACTCTGGGTAAGTCCACTCAGAGTTGACTACAGGCGCAACAAGTATGAGAAGCCATAAGTGGAGCTCCAAATCAATGTGTCACCATGACAACGAGCAACAGGAAATGCCTATGTATTAACACTGGAACTAGAGATTCAGGGATACAGTATTGAAAAAATACTGGGTGGTGCTTAAAAGAAAGAGCAACAGCGCTACAGCTGCAAAAGAGAGGTAGATGGTATAGAAGCTTCCTGCAGGAGTTTATGCGGAAGCTGATATGAAGGCCATTTTGACATTTATTAATGGTACTCTCTTTGTGTTGCTCCATTTGTAGATCACTAAAATAGGATTCCTCCTGTTCAAAATAACATTCCTAGTCAGAGCTGTAACAGCAGGTTTTCTAAATTACATTTTTGACAGCAGAAAACTAAATTTCAGAAAGTAAAATAACAAAATTGTACTATTAACAATTAGATTTTATATAGGCCTACCAAAAACTGTTTACACATTTTAAGTAGTCATTTTGAATTAGCTTGACTGCATATTTATTTATGATATCTAAAATAAATTTCTTTCTAATCCAAATAATATAAATTATGACCAGTAACTATAGGAGATCTGAAATTCATTTCTAGACATCCAGAACAGGTAGGACCTATGCATCACCTCATGGGGTTCCTCCTCATTTGATTCTGTTTTATATTAGACAGAAATAACTGGCTGGTTTACTTTAAGAGGTTAGCTTTAGAAACCTTAGAGATTTTAGTAAACCTGCTTTGTGAAACGGGGAACTGTTGTGGGGCATTTAATTTGTACTTTAAAAAGAATTGAATTTAATTGGTGGCTCACAGACAACTGTACAACTTATTTTTATGAATCCATTCCTTGAGGATTTCAATGCATACTATTTTAGAATTATATTTGTAATAGTAGCATTGACCACAATGTCTGAAATGAAAAGGGTAGGAAAACATCCAGGTTTAAGTTCTCACCCACTCACTGTTCACATTGTTTTACCTTGGCAACATAATATAGGAAAATTGAGGCATGAAAAGACAAAACACAGCTCAGATGAGATGTAAACATCTGTTTTCAAACAATTAGGAGGGACACAACCACTTCTTCTTTAGTGTCAAGCAAATGATTTTGAAGGGCTTTAAATTTTGAGTTTTGATTTCACAAAGCTGCAAACATAACCATAGCGCTGACTTTCTAAAAGGATGGCTTAGCTGTAATCAGTTCCAGTATGTGCTAAAAGTGAACCACTGTTACCATACAGCTTTTTATGGTAATAACTTTTACATCCAGATATAACCTTTAGGTCAACGTATTAAAAATCATTCTTATGAGACTTATTTTACTTTTCAATTTTTCATATTTCAAAAATAAGAAGAGTTGTAAGTCGAAGTTCTCCGAGTTTGTAGAACACCTGAGCAGTGTTCAGATCTAAAAGGCACTTTTAAATTACTACTATTAATTCCCTCCATTTTATTATTTTATTCCTATATAATAATAATCATGTACTCGGGCTGCCTGTGGCTTTTTGGGGCTCATACACATGGATATAGAAAACTAATGGAGCAGATGTGAGACGTAGGCTATTTTTGAGTTCTTTCAGTGCTCATCAGGCAGAGGATGTACAGCGCAGCAATCCCTTGTATAGAAAAAATACAAAGAACTCCACTGTTTGTTGTTTATACTTTATTCTCCCTTTGCAAAAGTGATAGTAAGCGTGCTTGAGTCTGTTTTTGAGCCATTATGTTGTTTTTAGCTCCTACTTTTGTTTGTCCTTTACTACATTCAGCAGGCCCCTTGAGATTCGCTATGGAGGAGGCTCCACTCTCACTGCATGCTTGTTGCACTAAAGCTCAGCTGCTCAATAAAAATAATATTTTATACTGTGGGGATCCTAATGGTCCTCCTTTCAGAAAAGAATGAATGGCAGTATGCAATTTTGTTTACCTGTATCCAATTTAAACAAGATTTATCTGTTTAGTAGCTGCAGCCCTAAGGCAAAATATAAGCATCAGGAGGGCCTTCTGCAATGGCTGACGACCAGCAGAGTCAGATGTTCTGTACAGTTTTTCTGCCTTTGTCTGCCTGTTTTTTTTTTCTCTCAAACAGCCCCAGGTAGCCATAAATGATTCACATACACAAGCTTGTATGCTACTCAAAACAATGCTGTATAATGGCTATGCATATGGTGGTTTAACGTCAGTATTTGGGACATTGTATTTGATACTTCTTTTGCATTAGTTCATATTTCCTTACCCTGCCTGTGCTTCTGTTCCAACAGTGTAAAAAAAAAACTTTCGGTTGTTTTGTTTTACAGATCAAGTTGACTTTTCTGTTTTGGAAGGCCAAGGAACTTCTTTTTATTAAAAATGCACTGTGTCTTCCCCTCCTGATCCGTTTTCCTTGTGCTGTACAACACATGCTATCTGTGAAAAATAAACCAAACTTGTGCTCATCCTTTTAAGTGTGAAAATCTTTTATTTTACCGTGTGACTGAAAGACAGTCTGTAGTTTTGTTCCATGCAAGATTCTTATGTTTGTTGCACTTTAGCATGCTAACATGTTGGTTAGTGGTTCCTTTTATTACAGTTTAAACTTAAATTGTCTTGATCACTGTTCAAATGTTGGATGAAGTTTTTTTTGTAAGGTTTTTTCCTATGTAGCCTAACGCAGCGGCCTTCTTTGCACCACGGACCGCTATATGCCGGACAATTTTTTCACGGACCGGCAATTAAAGTAAAATGATACAACTGGCATAAAATCAAATACAAACAGCATAAAAATAAAACAACAAGCCGGTCCCATCTAGGCGTAATCGGAGACAATGACAGACGAAGTGTGCTCCTGATGTCCAGTCTGCTCCGTAGCTTTGTTTTGGTCGCTGTAACCGCAGAAAATCCCGCTTCACAAAGATAGGATGTTATAGATAGGATGAGTCTTGAACTGAATTAACATGTGTCAAGAGGCACAGATGCACCAACTGATGTAATTGGGAGAGAATACCACAATTTTTTATATTTTTCAAAATAAAAAATCACTCAGACTCTGATATTCGATAAATTATATATATATATATATATATATATATATATATATATATATATATATATATATATATATATATACATATATATACACTTTTTTTCTGTGCGGCCCGGTACCAAATGCCCGGTGGTTGGGGACCGCTGGCCTAACGTATGGGATCTGGTTTACTAATTTTCTTAAATCAATCACAGTCTAACTATTAAAAGGGTAATAACTTTTATTTTGGCAAAAAGAAAATAAAAACTTTAATGCTATGTAATGATACATTTGAAAAAAATTTACACAAAAAATATATTCAGTTGCATTATATTTAGGTTTTACTTAAATTCATTTTCTTAAAAAAAAAATACAAACATAATTTATTATTCTTTTATGCACTTACAATTTTGATCCCTTGTTTTTATAGGTTGACCCCATTTCTGAAAAGATTGGATAAATGCTATTTTATGAATTTTTTTGGTGTTGTTTATGACAGCTAAGTGACTAGAACTATAATATCTGTACCCAGATGAAATCAGGTTTTTCATTTCAGTTCAAATTTAATCTAGTGGAGACTTCTGTAGGGAGGGATTTTTTTTTTCTCATTATAATTGATGATAAATTTAAAATGCAAATGTTGCTGGTTTTTAAGCTTTTGTAATATTTTCTTCGTTATGTATCATATTACAGCAGTGACACACATGGATCTTTACCATGAGTCCAGTAAAGCTGACAGTGAAGTATCCTGACAACCCTTTATGTCTGGGCTTTTCTCTTTTCCAACAGTCACAATAAAGAACGGTATTAAAAATATCCTCCTGGAGCAGCTTGGTAAAAAAAAGTTTGCAGCACAATGGGTTACCTTCAAGAAGGGAAAAAGTATAACTTATGGGCTCGTTGACTAAAGCATGAAAAATAGATCTTTGAAATGTTTGCTGAACTTCTTTCATCCACATAAGCTGTGGGATTGCTGGTTTGTTTGGTTTCCTTATTTGATATTCTAAAGGTGCTCAAAATTCAACCTTTTTTAGCTATAGAAACATCTTTGATGTAGTTCCAGAAACAAAGATGCAGTAAAGGTTTACTAAAACTTTCCCTCAGTTAAGAAGCATTCCGTCGCAGGAACTGTGCCTGTGCTGATCTGTGATTGGCTGATTCACTTTTTCCCTTTTTCAGTGTTCTACCAACACTCCAGTTTCTCTGACCTAAATGGCTCTACCTTCGGCTCACTTGGCTAATTATCTGCAGCTGGCTTAAGAACATAATCCTGATTTTCAGAGCTTTGTCTTAAATAATCTTTGGGTTATATGAACCAGATCATAACACCTCTTTGAGAAACAGTGGTTTTGGTCGTTGCCCTGTTTGTACTCAGATATAAAAACTTTCAAGTTCTTTTTTTAAAGAAATACTAGTTTAGGTGGGAAATATCTAAGGTTTCTTGTCCAGTTAATATCCAACAAGGCCGCTTGTGTTTTAAACAATGGTCCAATCAGAATACAGCAAATTTCGCTCCCAACTCCACTTCACCTTTCAACAGTTGGAGCACAGTTGTAACAGAAAAGTAGTCTGAACTGCTGATGACCTTCAGACAGCATTAAGTGACAAAAACACATGCATGAAGTCAAATTGGAACTACAGCCTCCTGACAAAGAACTTCAAAAAGTACATAAATGTATTACTTACTGATTTAACCAATCCTATACTAATTCTCTGTAAAAAAAAAAAAAAAAAAACACATACTCGCACTGCAATTAACGACTATTGATAAATAATACTCGCATAAATGCTTCACAGGCTCTGAAATTCTGTTAAACAAACTTTAAACATGACTAAAAAGTATAAAAACTAGAATGATTTACAGCTCAAATATTTAGCAGCACAGGCAACAAGGTATGTATGAAAGCTGTCTATTATTCTAATTTCTCTGTATGATTTGCTAAATTAAATAAACTACAATTGTTCCTTGTGCTGAGGGGAGATTATGGTGTTGAACAAAAAAAGCTAGTTGATCCAAAGAGCCATAACTCCAAGGTTCTTTGAGTGAATAACCCTGAAATGAAATGCACAATTAAAACACTGGGCTGCAGGTTGGCATTTAAAGCAAGCAGGTTTGGGTTCCAGCTGCAGCTGTTAAAGCAGTTCTGGCTGGCAAAATGTATTTGGAAATTTCTTTTTCTATTTTCCATTAGACTTGGTGCATGAGACAGAATAGTGATTTGTCCAGGTTGCACAACTGGGAGAGGGCTTCTGCAATCTATAAAGAAAAAAATCATGACATAGAGGGTTTTCCTTCATTTTTATTAGATGTTTTTTTTTCTTCTTTTTTTTCTAAGTATAGTTAATTTTATCTTTTCAGGTTTGGTTCTCCGAAAAGGAGCAATGGCCTGATCTGCATCATTAGTTTGCTGACCAGGGTTTTACATAAGCCGTTAACGTAGGTTTTATTCTTTTATTTGTAAAAGGGCTGTGGGTAACGATCCACAAACAGAATAGATCAGATTCTATAGTTTTTTCTGATACCTCTACATATATTTACAGAAGTTTAAAAAGACTGACATATTAGGCTGACTTAGGAAAAAAAACTCTCCAACTTCTCAAACTGCACATGAACTCTTCCCAGTGAGAAAAGCTTTGGCATCTGCAGGTAAGAGCTTTGCTGCAGGAGGAATTCTTATTACCACAGGAAGTTTCAGATCAACAACATAAAAAGTAACTCGCACAGTAATTCTGCTTTTGAAAAAGACAAACTGAAGCCCTGAGGCTGACTGTGGGTTTTAAAGTAGCAGTTTGAATCAGCGATTTAAACCTTAAGAAATATACAGAGTTCACTCCATCTGCATGCCCTTTATGTGTATTGACACCTAAGATAGAAATGCATAAGATTTTATTTTGTATTTTATTGTAGCAGCATATAGTTAATTAAACACTGCACATTCCCCTTTGAAAATTTAGATTCAACATATTTTTCATTTAACTAAGCAGTCTGTCACTGATATGAATATAGAATGGCATCTTTGAAAATACAGAACAACACAAAAGAGGTATCCATTTAAAGAATAACTTAACATGTATTTTTTTATTGTTAACCTCCACTTTGTGGAGCCCAGTGTAGAGAAATTTTTAGATGCAATGGTTTGTTTGCAGTGTAGAGCAACTTGCAGATGCAATAACATTTACCTCATTAACATGCAGCCCATATTCTATAGAACCAGGTGTGCCAGAGCAGACGCTTGTCTTAACGTTCCAGGACATCGGTCAACAAAAAGAAAGACATTTGAGATGTCAGACTGAGTTTTTACAGCTATAAAAGATGCATTTATCAGCATACTTGGAGGTCATCATTCTTGACTTGTAACCTTTTTAGCTTCTCTTTAAAATTCAATTTGGATCATTTATATTTTGCTAATTCACTACAAGAATATAACATCTATGATTCTGTATGATCCCTGATTGAAGCTTGAGTGTTGTACAAGTTCCGATCACATCAGTTACAGAAACGCAAAGCTTACAATGAAAATTTGAGATCTTACAGCAGAGCTATGAACGACAGACGGCTCATGCTGAGCATTTAAACCCCATGACGATTTTTTCTTCCCTCCGTCTCACCTCTGATCCTCTAGTCAGTCAAGAAACTCGGAGATCCGTCTGAATGGGGGGAACACAGCCATCACAGCATGCGCTCACCTTTCACAGGCTTCTCTTTTCATCTAAATATTTCTAAGATGCTTTCAGACACCATGCTGGGGAAACACGCTCTTCTGTCTGTTAGGGTTTGAACAAATATGAAACAAATGTTTTGGTTTTTTTCCCCCTCTCTTCACTTCAGTTTGAAGCTTCCAAAAGAAGTCGCCACAGAATTTGCTCTTGTGAGCAATCGTGATAATTTCTTCCATTATATATTGGATTAATATAACTAAAAAAGCAGGACATGGTTGGATTTATATAAAAAAAAACATGAAGCCATAGAGGACAATCTAATTTGTCTTTAGAGACCTTTATTTACATGTTCATATATAGCAAGGTTCAGGGATCAGGGGGTAGTTATGAAAATACCAGTCAGCCCGTCTGTATGTGTCCCAACATGTACAGAAGAACATGAAATACTGAGTTAGTGAAGAATGTTTGTCCTGAATTAGAAGAAACTGTTTTGTTTAAACTGACTTCGGAGTTTTTGTTTTGTCTTAAAGTTGTTTTCCCCACTTTTTAAGGAACTTAAAAAAAAAAATACTAAGATTCTCCAGACATTTCATTAGAAACCAATTAAGCCCTGTTCTGTCACATATGCACAAAAGTCATTACAATCATGATGCTGTAATTAAAAAGAAAACGGGATTATCTGGAAAGTCGGTAGACCACCCCCACATCTGTCAGGCAGGAATACTTGCCTGTGCTGAGTAGAACCCTCAGCAGGCCGAATGGGTCCAGCATGACTCAGGCTTGGACTCGCACAGTCCCACGTGAGGACAGCTCTAGTTAAACCAGCTTGATTTCAAACATTTCAAATGCTTGCATTTAATCCAAAAGGTAAAAAAAAAGAAAAAAAAAAAGAAAAGTTTTATTCTAATTTATTTTGTACTACAGAGGTTTTATTTTGTCTTAAAAAAATGGAACAAAACAGAAAAGTTCTTTGGAGGAATCCCACATTAGCACAGCTATAGACTAACCAGCTTTCTCAGAGCATTTAAAACCAAAGTTTATTTTCCAGAGATGTGACTTTGCGTCTCCTTGTTTCTCCTCTCGCTCATTTCTCACAAACGCGAACAAAACGACGAAGTACAAGTTGAGTATCTCTTGCTTCCACCCGCCGCCGACACGCTGTACAGCCACTGGTGCAGGAAGGAGCCTTGGCTTGGCCCCTGGGATTACGAGTTTTCTGTGAGGAGCCAATCGGATCAGTAGATGACTTCGTAGACCGTGGCCTTCTTGTCCCCTGAGCCAGTTACAATGAACTGGTCATCGGGTGAGATGTCACAGCTGAGAACTGATGAAGACTCCTTAGACTGTGAGAAACAAACAGGTTGGTTTAAACAGTTGAAGGAGGAACAGTTATATTTACTGCAGTGGTTCAAGTCCACTTTATAGCATATCCTATGCATATTAAGCCGTCTACCTGGAATATGCTGGATCCGTAGGGCGTCCGCCATGCATTCAGGAGATTATCTTTCCCTGTGCTCACAAACCATTTACCTACAGGACAAAACATACACTGCTGTCAGCAGATAAAACATCATAGGAGGTAAGATATGGAGGAGCAGGCATTGGAAAAGAGAAAACATCCTCAACTGAAGTAAAATGTAGTATTTTGCTTTCATGAGATTTGATACCCTGAGGTAGTATTAAGGAATTAAATAATGTAGAGTTTAGGCTGTTAGGAGTGATGTGTTAACGTACCGCAGTAGGCGAATTTGAGGGAAAGGACGCAGCTTTCGTGGAGGTGCAGCTGATACTTGTCGGGTTTGGAGACATGCAAGACTTCAACATTGCTGCTCTCCATTCCTACTGCCAGCCACTCGCCTGTCGGACAGTAGCCCAGGGAGAAAATCTGGAACAGGCAGGGATGGTGGAAAGAAAAAAAAAAAGTGAATAAATAGTTCAACGGTTGCCTAACCTCAGTTATAAGAGTCCTGAATGAATACCTGTGAGGTGAAGTCATGCTGCTGCAGCTGCCGGCCCTCTCTGAGGTCCCAGCAGCGGACCGTGTTGTCCAGCCCTCCCGTCCAGAGCTTGGTGCCATCATTGGAGATGTCGATGCAGCTTGCTCCGTCTGTGTGGCCCTGGAACTGCCTGCAGGACAAAGCATGCAGAGCCATTAAAACTCAGTGAGGTTTGTCCTATAGAAATGCAAAAATGGGACTGGTAGATCATTTTCCAAAGGAAATATATTTAAAAAAATTAAAGAAAATACAGAACTTTTTTTGTTTTGTTTTGTTTCTAACATCCACAGACACCTGCAGCATAACCACAGCTCAGCAAGTCACTTTGAACTTCTCTTTCAATAGATGTGTGAACTTTCACTGCTGTAGCCTCTCAGCAGTGCAGGAAGACGGTTTATCAAAACAAAAACTAGGTTTATCATACTTTGTGGAATTTCTGTTCCTAAGGTAAAAGTGACCATAAAAATGCATCACACCATGTCAAACAACAAATATGCAAGGGCTTATATTCCACCCTGTAAGCACAAACGTTACCATAATAATAAAAGTAATAGTTATAATTATAATGGTAATAATACCACCAGAGTAACATTAAATCTGATTCACTCAGATTTCAGACTCTGATCTAACCTGGAAAAAAAAGATGAACTTGTCTGATATACAGTATAAACAGGTAGGAATAACAATCTCCTGGAGGTGCATGGTTTTTATAGAGATTTTTTATAAATATTCTTAATCCATTGTAGATTTATGAAATACCTAGCTATTTAACTAATAATAACAACTAATAATCTGGAGAACTATTCTGGAACAACCTTAAGAAGCATTTACTCCTGCTGCTTAAAGTTAAAAACTAAAACAAGTCTATCTGTATACCAGAGTTTATTTTTTACACTGCATTTTCTCCCCTAAGTGCTAAACTAATCTGACTGTTTCCTTAATTTCCTCTGCTCAGTCTACATCAGACACAAGGAAACCATTTTTATAGACTGGTCTGTTGTTTTTTCCTCTTACCTGACCAGGGTCTGGTTGTGCAGGTCCCAGACGACAATGTTGCCGTCGCTGCAGCAGGAGAAGCAGACCTTATTGTCCGGTGAAATGGCCAGGGCGTAGCAGGCTGGAGCAGACGACGTCAGCTCCGCCTTGATGCGTGGAGTGGGTGTGGCCAAATCCCAGATGGACAGAGTGCTGGCCTCGCCTCCAACGATCAGGGTTCGACCGTCTGAGAGCAGCTTGCAGGAGCGAATGTAGTTATCCCTGTTCTGATTGGACACAGAATATAGACAGAGTAAGTTAGGCATGCTGCTTTAAGAGATGCTATTATGTTTGGCTTCCAATCTGTCGTCGTGTCTCACCAAACAGTCCAGCTGGGCCATGGGGCTCTTGCTTCCCTGCTGGCTGATGTCCCACACCTTGACGCAGCCCTTTCCTCCTGTGTAGACGTGACGAGTGGAGGTGCTGATTGTGACGGCGCACACTACCTCTCCGTGGCTCAGTGTGTGGATCTGACGGGCATGACGTGGGATCCCCGGGCCCAGCAGGGCGTCAGGGGGGAACGGCACCGGCTGCATCTGGCCGTCTGCGCTCACGTGGAACGAGTAAGCGCTGGAAAGGAGAACAGAAATAAATAAAAACTTTTTACAATTGACAGCTTGCAGATAAAGATTTGTAAATTATAGCATAGATATAAATCACCCAAGATCAACATGTAAATACTTTGCTGAAAAGAGTCTTTTGCAACACTATGCCTTTAGCATCTTTGTAAATAGGCATCCATCCATCCATCCATCCATCCATCCATCCATCCATCCATCCTCTTAAATACATACTAAAAGTTATGGATGTTATATGAGAAAACAGCATGAGGACCTTTGCAAGTCACCGCATTCGGTCTTTCCTTAAACTTTGCAATAAATGATCAACTTTTATCTGTTAATCTGAGACATTACAAATTTATTTGGGTTATTAGAATAAAGATAACTTCTAATGCTCTGAATAATCTGCCTCTTCTGCTTTTGTATACATCTTGTTTCCAAAAGAGGTCAAAAGTGACAAAAAACTGAGATCGCAACAAACCAAATTATTTAAACTGACCACAGCAGCAAATTTTTGCTTTTTAAACCAGGAAAAGTTCCATTAATCAGGAAGAGGAAACTCACGGTTTTCCTGAGGCCGACTGCAGGCTGGCAGGAAGCCCAGGGACCCTCATGTGTGGATGTGGAGACTCATAACCCACCTGGAGGAGACAAGATACCTTAAAAACTGCAAACAGCTTAAAGAAAAGAGACCAACAAGACCAAAGGTCAATACAGTTAAGAGCTGTCCCACTAAAACGGTTTAAAATGCGACAGTATCTGGATTAAAAAATGAATAAAACACAATATTAAAAAAGAAAAGACGTTTCTGAGAGCAAAGGTCATAGACTGTCAGATTCCTAAAGATAAATTACACAACAGCTGCTTTTTCTCCTGTTCTCCATAAATTTCCAGATTTTTGCCCTTTCTGACAGCTTTATATGCTGAAGCACCACATATGACAGTGACAGTGCAAAGACAAATCATCTGCAGAGAGCTGGCCTCACCACAGGGGACCTTCCATAGCCTGCAGCAGCTGCTGCGGCTGCTGCGGCTGCAGCTCCATTCATCTGAGGTGAGACCAAGTGGAGGCCAGCGCCGTAGCCCGCCGCCCCGGGCAGGTCTCCGTTCACTCCTGGAGGAGGCAGGCCAAAAGCCCCAGGAGGGTAGGCCCCCTGCACTGCCAGGGGATTCCTCAGACCCAGAGCTGTAAGAATAGGACAGAGAAAATTCCTGATTGAAGCAAACAATTAAATGCGTCAGTTATTCAGGATGTCTGTGTCCAATTTTTTTTTTTTTTGAATATGAAATAAAATCTATTAAAATGAGCCTTTCAGACAGTTTTGCTAGACGAGCTAAGAACAAGCTGTAACAGAGAACTGACATACTGCAGGACTGGAACACTACTGACCCCTGCTGGCATCCATACTGTCCTGCAGCGATGGCTGCACATGTCCCTCTGTGTGAATCCTCATCTCTAATGTCAACCGTCTGCACATGTAGGTGTATCAAGTATATATGCTTGCTCACACGTATAATAGAGTGTGTGAAATTGGAGCATGCGCTAACAGGTGACAAGTATTAAAAAAAAAGGGAGGAAGAAAAAGAGATACAATGAATATAGATGGAGGCTCATTATGAGGCTGCTCACAGTCACAGTCCATCACCTCTCCTAATCTTTCCATTTAAAAAGTGAAGCACGCTGAATATTTCTGCCCACAGCTGCTTATTAAGTCCAGATGGTGATCGGTGGCGGGAAGCAGGCGGACACTCATACCAACTATGGCAGCTCAGCATTGACTGACTTTGGCGCAGGAGTGAATTCTTAATTTCAATAGTCTTCAGTGTGTAGATTGCTTTATGAAAATCTAAGGTGATGCAGGATGTCACTTTAATTACAGAACTACAATTTGCATGAAAACTTTTGTAGGTTTTGAATTAAAGTGATGAAGCTATTTTTTAGCAAAGACACATTCTCACCTAGAGGGTCAACACCAGGTTTTCCTGGAACAGGTCTGAACTGTGGTGGTCCACTTGGTCCTGGGGTGTTGGATTCTTGAGACATGGGAGTACCTGGTTTCATACCGGGAGTACTAGACTTCTCCCTCTGGAGGAGGAGAACAAGAGGGACAGCGAATGATAAAAGAAGCATTAACAGTGATTTGAGGTACAAATCTGTTGGCAGCAACAAAATAAAAAAAAATCTGTATTTATTACAGCAGCTCATCTACTAATAAATTGATTTATTAAATGGAGGAAAATATCTCTTATTTAACAACATCATAGGTGCAAAGTAATTGGTTAACTTCAAATCCCTTTAACCTTTTATCTCGGCCTAGTCAGTGAGGACCAGATTCAGCTTGTGTCTCTTGTTGTTATGCATATTAATTTTTTTTTGTACTCAAAAACACACCTAAACCCTGAAATAAAAGGGCGCTGAAAGTTGAAATCGTTTTAGTAAAAGAGGCAAAGGACTCACTCATTGATATTTTCTGGAATAAGAGATTTAGAAAATTGTAATAAATCTTGTTCGGTTTATTTTTCTGGTCACATGAGTGTTAAAATAAAAAAATAAAAAAAAAATTAAGACAAAAATTTGCTCTTTTAGTTGACAACAGGAATTTCTAGTTTGTTTATCTGTAACTTCCTTTTTCTGAGGTTAAAATATAACAGCACACAGTCCATAATATCCTACAGCTGAAAAACAAATCAGGAACAAAACCTTTCTAAAGGAGCTGCCAAGTCTCCATGACAACCATTAGATTGGCTGTATGTGAAGCGGTTGTTTGGAAGTCATGTCAGGCATTTTTAAACCCAAATAATGGAAGGCATAAACCACCATAAATGTGTTATTGGCTTAAAAAGCTGCCCTGTGCTTTGGTTAAATGGGACAAAGATGAAGCTGTTCAGAATACAGGCGGGTTTGAGACTGTTGGGTACAGCGGAGGCTCTGTGATGCAGTGGGCTTGTTTCTCCTCTAAAGAGCTTTGTATATTTAAATTTAATCCGGGGGAGTAAGAAGGATTAGGGACAAAGGAAAACAATAAAAGGACATAAAAAAAAACAACAAAAAGAAACCCTGAAAACATCACTGATGCTGACTATAACATTTTAGTGCTATGACCATAAGAAAAACTACTGATCCTGAACAAAATGGGGAAGTACAGCGTGGCAGCTGAAAATTATTTTATATGTAATTGATTGTGCAAATGTGATATCAAAGAGTAGAATGGAGTTATTTCTTGGCTGTGTGTATTTCCATCTACCTGTGGGGGCTCTTTGCCCCGAGATGGGGAGGTAGCACTGCTAGATGAGGCCAGGGAGGTGGGGCTCGCCTGTGGGGGCCCTTCCTTGCGGGATGGGGGAATCTTGTCTAAACCATTCTCCCTGGAAGAGTAGGACTGCACACTGCGAGGGGATGATGGGTCCTGAATACAAATTATATTAGATATGACAAAGAAAATAAGACATGGCTTTTGTTTATTTTGTAAATGCAATACCAGGCTTCTCTAGTTTTCAAATAGCTTTGCATTGTTTAATTGTATTACGAGGTCATTCTGCTCTGAAATAAACCAAAATCCAATTGGAGTTAACAAAATAAATGATGTAGCTAAATATTCAGCCTTGCATTCTACAACATTTAGCTTCATAGTCCAGTACTTTCAATGCAGAAACCCCAAAAAACCTTCTCTAAGAAAGAAAAATCAATTCGCACAAACGTTGAGATTTTTTTTCTACTAATGTCTTTTGTTGATAGATTTATTTAACTTTTGAAAAGTTTTGATGGGTTGCTGTAAATTCTTAAGTTCTATTTTCACTGGAAATGTATTCTATAGGTTAACCAAACAGCTCTTATTAACCCGAATTTTTACATTTTCTTCAGAGCCTGTTGATGACTATTTGCTGAGGATCAGATGGAAACTATAGTATGCATGAAAATGTGTAATAAATCAGTTGTTTTTCAACAATTTATCTTCAGCAATCTGAAATAAATCCTGGGTATTATAAAAAAGCTGCAGTGATTGCTGTCAATTTTTCATTTTAAAATGTCATATTTTCCAGAGTCAAATTTCCAGCAGTTCATCTTGCAGTTTTCAAAACATTTGAGGGTGCCATCTACACCTGATCTGCTAAAATAGCAGCCTTGCCTGAAGGGTTAATATTCAAGATAAAAACAAAACAAAACACAAAACCGAACCTTGCCTCCGATTTTCTTAGTGTTACATGAAAGTCACTTTTTTGCATGTGGACCAATTGGACCTATCCCGAGTCTTGTGCTGGTAATGACAATTGGAATTTCCTTCAAAAATTTCTTTTAAACCACAATCTTTGCTATAAGATTTTTTTTCTCTACAGTGTTTTGAGGGATTTTAACCAGATTCAGTTTAGAATCAATTCAACCTGAGGTAGCCTAGTCAACTGCTAGTAAACTAATAAACCAGTCAGTAAGCAACAAACTAAATACAGATAGGTTGAATGTGACATGGCAAAAAAACAACAAAAAAACCCAGCCTAATTTAATAATAAGTTAATAAATAGGATTATTTTGAAATATAAAGCTAAACAGAACAACATGCATGAGGAAAAACAAAAACAAGAAAATTGTAAGATTGTATTCTTTAGCATGTCCATGCATTATGTCTTTTTGTAGCTCTGCAGGCAGCTTGGACTGCAGCTCCGATTGTGTACCTGTATTGTGCATCTAAATGAGGTCAGGCAGAGGCAGAGTCATTCCTATTCATGTGACTGTGCTGGCTATGTTTACATGGTGCATGCTGATGAAGGTGGTCAAGTGATGCAAACAGAGGCCGGCAGCCGCCTACTAACCTCATCCACTACCAAATTATCGTCGCTCTTATCTGCATCGCTGCCCTGCGAGAGAAAAGGGAATCAAAAAGAAAGAAAAAAAATCTGCTCAATTACCTGTTCTAGGTGGAAGTAAAGGTGTGAAAAAAACAGTATACATTTAAAGCAGCCCCACACAGTTAACTTAGGGGTAAAACGGGTCTCAGTTTACCCTTCTACCATCTAGCAACATCATTTATTAAAAATAACTCTTACTTCAAGAAAACAGCGGAATCAGGACTGTAAATATTTCAGAAAGAAAAGAAAGCAGTTCCCTAAAGTCTGCTGGTCTTCTACTCTACAAAGACAGCATTTCTTTTATCTGACTCAGATTGGAGGAGTTGGGTAAAACTTTCCTGCAGTAACTCAAACATTTAAGAGTGTTATGGATGTGTCCTCACATAGTCTGTCATGAACTCCTTCTCTTCAGCTTTCCTCTTCTTGCCGTTGCTGAGGTAGTCTGTTGGGCGACCCTTATCTCCGTTGGACAAGGAACTCTGTAGAGAGGGGAGGGGGGTGAATTAGAGCAAAGCAGCAAAAAGAGGGAGCATTTGTACACAAGCAGATGAAAGAAGGGAGAAGGGGGGATTGGTGAGGAGGAGATGAAGGGAGGTAGTACGGGGAGTGGAGAAAAGGATGTGAGGGTGGAAGGGGAGGAAGAGGGTGATAATGAAGTGAGGGGGAGTGCATAAATCATTTCAGGCTCATGAGCTGCAGCGATGAATGTGAAAGAATATCAGGCTGCATCGACTGGCCAGCCCACAGAGGGAAGCAGCAGGAGGCAGAGGAGAAGACTGGAGAGGCTGGAGTGAGCTAAAATCAAAGCTGAAAGCAAACAAGTGCACATTGCAGCATAACATGCATCCAGATAGGAAACGCTTAAAGTTTCAATGCACTAGATGGATAGATGTGTCCTTTTGGATTTTATCTCATTGAACAAGGTTTAGAATAGTGCATTTTCTGAACATCTACAGGTCATTTTGTGCAACTTGTGTTTATTTAAACAAGTTTATACTTTAAATGTGTTTAACCTATAACTGCACTAAGTTTTTTATGCTAAATAGAAATTTAAATAAAAGGCAATTTTGTGAGCTACAAATAATACAAAAATGTAACTCGGGTAAGAAACAGGAAAAACCTATTATATAGCTTTTTAAAGCTATATAAAAGCTATTATAGCTTTTTAAAGCCCATTATACTGGCTTTAAAAAGCTTCATTTTCATTGCTATAACCTTTTGGCATCATGTCATATAAAGAAAAAAGTAGTGTATTGTATTTTACTGGGATTGTATGCGACAAAACAAAGCAAAGTAACAGATGATCTATCTATCTATCTAGTTTCTGTTATATATATATATATATATATATAGAACAGAAATAAGCCAAAAACATAAATTCCCCCAAAACCAATGAGCTTCAGAAGTCAGTCAATTAGAAAATAAAGCTATAATTCCAGCTGTTCTATGGAGGGCTTAATGTTTTGTAAGATGAAAGTTAACACCAGTAGATGGGTTCAAGAAGAGTTTTTATATAAAATAATACTACATGCTTAGTGAATCTCACAGGGCACTGTTTGGTCCTTCATTCATGAACAGACATCATGCACAGTGAGCACAAAACTCCTACTACTAAACGTAGTGATGGCAGCATCATATAGGAGTTTTTTTCAGCTGGGATAGATAAGTGGGTTAGAGTTGAAGGGAAGAAGGATAGCGCTCAATACAGGGTTCTAATGGAAGAAAATCAGTTAAAGGTAGCAAAGGACTGGGCAGAGGATGAAATCTTCAAACGTACATTGATGCTCATTTCAATTAACAACATTAGCAGAGATTCTGCTATGCCTTTTTTATGTTTATCACATAAAATCCCAATAGCATAGTAGTTGTATTGTAGCAAAATGCCAAAAACTGCAGGGGGATCAATGCATTTGTTAGGCAAAGAGATTCTGATATCAACTCTATAGAGCTGAATTTTGTACCATTTAGTCTTACATTTCTATCGGTAGACAGTAATTTGTGTGGTTTTCTTTAACCCCAGAATTAGAGAAAAAATTTTCCCTATCTAGATGTGGATTCTAAGGAAGGGCATAGAGGCTAATATTACTGTATAATGTGTGATCAATAGTGCGGTAGGGTGTAATTTGCACTCACTGGTCCGGCTTCCCGCTCTGCTCAGTCAAGACATAAAATGTCCAACACATCCAGAAAGAGCGCAGCAATGCAGCAAGGGCAAGTAAGGACAGAAAAATACACATAATCATAAAGTTATTCACAATGATGACAACGTGCAGAAATATCCCTGAGGAGAATTATCACCAGACACCATGACTCTGCCTTGACAACGCTCTAAGGGGAGAATAAAATAAAAAAAATCAATCAGACTAAACTATGCCAAGATTTTATGCTTGCTCCCTCTCTACATAAGCTTTGTTTTTTTTGTTTTTTTTTGTTTTTTTTTGCTTCAAACATGGTTTCAGACTCCAGCCTGAGCACTAAACTCATCTAATGTCAGGCATGATTTAAAGCTTACCTCTGTGGTGTTCTGCTGCAGCGGCAGAGGCTGCCGCCGCCTCAAGGTGCGCCCTCTCATCTTTGGCTGCAAGCTGGGCCCCTAAAGCACCGGACAGGGCAAGCAGGCCAGACCCTCCGCCGAGTGCCAGGCTGGGGTGGGGCAGTCCTGATGGGTGTGGTCCCACTGGCAACCCTTGGGCATGCTGGGAGATGTGCTGAGCCTGGAGCTGCTGCTATATATGGGGAAACAAATACAACCCCAAAAAGCAAGAGAAAGAAAAGAGGAGAGGAGCTTGGGTGACTTACATGGAGTGAAGGAAGTGGTTGACTGGAAGTAATTAAGAAGAAGAAAAGGAGGAAGAAGGAGGAGGGAACTAATTGCTGCGATGTGCACATAAGGAGACATGCCAAGGTCAAAGCAGTGGCACAATTAAAAGTTCTAGGGTGAAAATTTAGAATAAAAACAAAGTACTGATTAAAGCTTTGAAATAAAGAAAAGTTTCAATGTTTGCCAAAATACCAGCAAACATTTCATTTGACGGTCATTTTGGGAGCACTCAAGTTTCAGGAACTGATGCTCGGATCTGATCAGAGATCAGATCTTAATAACTGATAACGGTTGAAAGAAAATGATGAGCTGATAGTCATCACAATAGTCAAAATAGCCAAAAAGGTGACTTGAGGTACAAGAAGGAAAAGAAAATAAGGAAAAAATCAAATACGGGAGTATAAGGTACACACGCTCTGAGGCAGAGGGGGGAGCCCACGTACCCCTATGGAAGCATTTAGCTCCCCCATGGTCACCTGTTTGGCGCGCTCCATGGCCTGGACCACCTGCTGCTGGTGCTGCAGATCAAACCAAGACATCAGAGGATCAATTTACAGCTACAGCTTTATATTTAAAAATGTGCGGATCTGAATTAATCACTTTTTAGGCGATCATATACAGCATCTCCTATATACAATTCACAAACTAAAAATTATAAACTGATTACGTGCGTAATCAAAATTCCAGTTTGCTTCTAATTGTCATGGCTTACAGCTAATTCAAACCTCAAATTCAGTTTGTTAGAATAAAATAATTTAACACTTGACAAATAAAATTCAAAGATTTTAGTGCAGAAAACAAGCAAAGCTTGAACAATTTTTGAAGATCCCATATTATGTAAAATTCCCATTATAAGCATATTGTAGCAGTCATATGTGTCCTGAAGCTTTTCTTTGTGGTTCAGAAATGAAAAGAAAACAAACTTTCCCCTCTACATTGTCTTTCTCAACCTTTTAGCTAATGTGTGCTCAAAATTCCCTGTTTTAAAAAGCACCCCCCTCATGATGTCATCAGGGGAAACACTCTGTCCATAGTGGTCTGCAGCCTTCATCTAATGTATTATTCCAAGTTCCCAGGGCTAACTTTACGAATTCTGTCTGGTTGTTATGATTGCAGGCTGTGGGAAAAGGACGGTAGGGTGGAGAGGGGTGAGGAAAGCCATATCAGCGCATTTAGAAGAGACCTGAATGAGATTTTTGGTCCACACCGTCTACCTAATTTGAGAGAAATTTTCCTGCAGAAACTGCAAAACGATGCTCAGGGGACCTTATTGTTGATGTTCATTCTCAACATTTGGAAAGTTAAGATCCCCGAAGTGCAGAAAAAGAAAACCCAGGATGCTTTAGTTTCTAAACTCATAGTTGACTGGTGGAGCCTTGTAACCTGCTGATGTTGGTCCACCTGTTTAATACAGTCCAAAGTAAATGCAGCCGTCTATATGGAAATATTAAAGCACTATGTTTCTGTCTTCTGACAGATTTCAAAAAGAAGTTGATCTAATTTTCAAACTGTGCTTCATCAGTCTGCAAACTAGCCTGACCTATACCCCACAGTCGGACAAGAGGAAGGACAAGAGACAATAGGATCAACAACACAAATAAGTTCAAGGCTGCTATTAAAATGGGGCTTCCTGACACCACAGCGGACGTAAAGCAGAAATCCTTTTAAAAGGGAACCCCTAAACCCATATTGAGTGCATATTATTTGCAGTAAATGTATGAAAATCTACATTCTGCAGCTCTTGAACATTATTCACATTTTTATGAAAATGAAAATTAAAAAGAGGTTTAATTTGCTGCAAGCCATAAAACAAAAACAAAAAAATTATAAATCCACAATTCTGTGTTTAATGAACACAGATGAGTTTCACTGCTTTCACTAAATTATTAAATCTATTTTGTTGAGATATGTTTCTATGAGCTGCGATGGACTGGCGACCTGTCCAGGATGGACACCGCCTCTCGCCCATTGACTGCTGGAGATAGGCACCAGCACCCCTCGCGACCCCACTCGGGATAAGCGTGTCAGATAATGGATGGATGGATGCTTCTATGAGCACATGACATTTTGGGCAGTGTGTGTATAACTAAACACTGATGCATTTCCTTGTTCCTCATCCTGAACTCTTACTGAATGCATGCAGTCCATCAGCAGCTCTATGTGTGAAAGATATTAATAAATATGTGCATGGACATTTTTCTGTCAAGGTTCCTGTCACCAAGTAAAGACAGAAAACTGAATACAGAGTGCGTGCGTGTGAGCATGGTGGGGAGCGTGTGTGTGTCCCACCTCCTGCGACAGGTAGGGGATGAGCTGGGCACAGATCACATTCAGCCGCTTGGCAATCTCCGTCTGAAAGAGTGAGAAAAAAATAAACAAAAACATACTGTCACTTTGATGAATAAACACACAAACAATCACACACAAAGATTGAGCATGAACACAAAGAAAACACGCGCACACATTCAGGAAAGGTTATACACAGACAAACACAGCTTTGGCCTGCCTCTCTCAGGGCCTGAGTGGTAAATATTTCAGCTGCTTACATCTGGTCCATGCAAATGGAAACTCTGCCAGAGAGTTTGGCTAAAATATTCATGCACAGCATCTGCTGCGGCCGCAACCAGCCCACACAGTGTGTGTAAAGAGGTGTGTGTGTGCGAAGACAAGAAGAGGAGACACAACAAACCCCATCTTGTGTGTATGGTGTTTCCTTGCATGTCTGTTTTGTCTTCTTGTTTTTTATTTATGCATGCATAGTTTTGTGAGACTGTGTGTTTCCTTGGGGGTGGGCGGCGGGGAGTCACTCGTTTGTGCTGTAGGTGTGTGTCTGTATGAACACGGTCTGGTACACCACCAACAGAAAACTTTCCCTCCATCTTCCGACCGGCCCGCTCCATTTAATCGCTCTTTCCATCCATTCTTTCTTACCATTAGGAGAGTAATCAGTGTGACGTGCGCTGCGGCGTTATTTCTAACACACACCAACAAGTTCAGCTGTTGGTCCAGGGAGGCTGTTCGGGCCAGTAATGACATGCATGTAGAGATCATGACAGCATCATTATAGCTGCAGGCTGTTTATCTTGTTGACAGCTACACTTTGAAGTATGTGTGTGTTTGTGTGTGGGAGAATGCGTGTGCATGTTGGGCCCTTTGTGTGTATGCCCATTTCCACCCTCCCCACACGCACACTGAGATGCACTCATCCTCTCTCTCTTAAGTGATTTATTGATGGCGGACTGAACTTCCACCCCTCTTTTTTTTCCTTAGGCTTCCTCTCTCATTTTTCTGACTAGCCTCATCTCTCCCCATTTCAGTCCCAACCCTGCCCTCCTTCCCTCCAACCTCTGAATCCATCACCTCCCCCCACCCCCACCCCCGGGGACACAATGATTTCTTGTTAGAGAACTTCAGCTACTAAATGACATCTTCCAGAGAGGGAGGGAGAAAAAGGAGAGAACATGAGCAATCTACAGGAGGAGAATAAGAGGGTAAGATGAAATGGGAGAGGGGAAATGAAGAGAGGGGGCAGAGGAGAGAAACAAGAAGGAAAAAGGGCACGTTGGGGTTGAGGGAAATGACTGCTGGTGAAGGACGCATGCCGGATGGAATGGAGAAATGAAGAAAAGAGAAGCAGAGGGAAGGTGGAGGAGGGAGAAAAAAAAAGCTGAGGCTGGGTGGAGGCAGGCGGAAGGGGAAACGCAGCATCGGCAACGGCGCATCAAAACCGGAGTGACTGAGAGGATGAAATAAAGAAAGGGAGTGGACAAAGATAGAGCAGACAGCAGGAAGCCAGTGACCTGATTTAAAGCGAAATTCAGCATGGACTGAATATCTGCAAAGAAGGTCGGGGTGGAGGAGGGGGCAGCGACAATTAGGAGACAAAGAGAAATCAATGGAGAGAAGGAGGAGAGAGGATGGAGTGAATAAAAAAAGATAAGGAAATATTTGAAATAAAGAATAAGAGACAACTACAAAAAGTATTGCGTGGAAGAAGAAAAGTAAAGCATAGGAATGATGGGAGGATGGAGGGGGAGGGACAAACTAGGATTAATGTGGGCGCAAGGGAAGAGCACAGAGCACACTTATTAACGCCTACACAACAGAGACATGCTATAGAGGTCCATCAGAAGACTGACATTAGGAGTGCAAAGAGAAAAATACTTTTTTTTTTTTTTTCTTTTTTTTGGAAACAAGTGTTGAGCAGAGCTGAAAAGAATGTCAGTCAAAATGATGCAGAAGGAGGGATAATAAGGCTTTGGGAAAAAGGGAGCAGAGCAAAGAGCAGCAGACCTGGAGCTGACTCACCTGTTTGTGCATTTCAATGTTAAGGCCGTAGGACATTTCATAATACTGAAACAAAAGGAAAAGAGCAGTTATTCATAATTGTAGAAAATAAAGAATAAGGCTAGACTGTTTATTGTGCTGGAGGGTTTTCATTTATAAAGAGGTGATTACTCATCTATAGCAGAAATAAACAGAGGCTTAAAGTTTCATATTTGATTAAAAAGGATATGCAACTTGCATGTAAGAAGTTGTCATACAAAGATTATTCCCTGCTGCCTAATGCTTAGATGAAAGGTCAAAAAATAGTCCAAAAAAATACAATAAAAAACATTCTATAGCAACATATGAGCCAATACTCGGATATACTATTAAAAAAATAAACCTAATTGTTATTATTTTGTGCAGTGGTTTGATCAGCACATCTCAATTTAAAATCACAGTTTCAATATTATGTTTTCCCTCAAAGGACTGTAATGATTTGATCAAGGCTGGCTTGTTCATACCCAGTATGAACATGGATCCTGTTGAACATAGCCCTAATAACTGTGAATGATGCATTTAAATCCATCCATAACTTTTCCTTATGTTGCATTTTACAAATCAAATCAGGACTCAGCAGAGCAGCAAACAGGACAACAACAACAGGCCCTGTATAGTACAGGTATGACCAAGATTTCAAGACAACAGCAAGGCTCAGATGGATCTAAGTTGTCATTTTAATGCCATACTGGATTAAAAACCCTTGATGAGTATAAATATGTAGCAGAACCGGCAAAAACATGAAAGAGGTCAACAATATTTAACTTCTAATACTTTGCTCCAAGTGAATGGGTATTAAAAAATAAATGTAACCCATTAAACCACAACTACAATTGTTCAGTGCTAAATTGCACAAACACTGTGGTTTTCATAAGTCTGTTTATAACAATTAGCTCGTAGAATGCTCCAAATGTAACTATATAGGAAAAATGCTCTTGTGATTGTCCATGGAAACCTTTAATGCCAGTGTCATCCAATGGCAGTAAAAGCTTGTTCTGCACATCCTTAAAAGCACGTCCCCACGAATTTAACCATGACTGCTGAAAATTTAGAGGCACTGAAACGAGTCTGCAGCACATTAACCAGAGTCAAAAAATACAAAGAAATGCTGGGAAATTGTCGCTGGAAGAACGACAGCAATAATAAGGTCTAATGTGAGCTTTTCAACCACTTTTTTTATCTTTAAGCACAAGGAACTGTGAGACATGCAGGAGGAGAAGAATGCAACAGAGACAGCAGAGGAGGCCTCTCTTCTCTCAGAGATGGACAAAAAGGAGAACATTTTAAAGTCGGATGCTTTGAAAAGTGACAGGCTGACATTTGCTTTTCAGAGTGGCTGGTAGTGGGGAGAGGAGATTGGCAGCCGAGCAGCCAAAACAGCCTGGCAGGCTGGAAGAAGAGGTGGCAGGGGTCCTCCGTCTCCAGATCTCTTTCCTGGCACTCATCCATATGTGTGTGTGTGTAAGAGCACAGGTGTGTGTTTGTATTTCAAGCACAAGCCTGCAACTGTGTGGGCGTGTGCACCTATGTGCTTTGTGTGCTTCTGTGTGAATATGGTTTAAAGCGAGCCATCCGAGCGCACACTCTTCTGTCTGTGTGTTTGCCTCTAAGCCTCCATAAAAGATGCCTTCCCTGGCAGCTCCGCCTAGCAGCTCTTTGCCAAGTTTTGCCTGTTGCTTAGCAACATCCAAACTACCCCAAATCATCAGTCGGTAAAGAAGAGCCGATGCCAGCTACCATCTCCTCCTCCTCACAAGTTCAGACTCGGTGCCAAGATCCCACATAGCTGTTTTTTTTTTTTAACAGCAGGTTCTGGGCAGCTCACGCTCTGTCAGCTGTGCAGGTTTCTGGCTCTGATCAAGGGTAAATTAAGTGTGTGTGGGGGGGCAGGCCATGGGTTTTTGGGCCTTTGTTTATACAGAACATAATATAATAATTTATTATATCTTTTTACTCTTTTTTTTCCTACAATTGAACGAGATCTTTTGGAACAACATATAAGCTCTATATTTAGCTCAAAGCTAATTGAAGCAACAATAAAAATAAAATAAAAAATCATCACGATATCGAATTTCAACTATAAATTCACAATGCAGAAATGAAATAAGAATATCTAAAAGGTGACACTGGATTAACTTGTATAATTAGCTAAAACAACATTATTAATAAAGTAAAATTAGATGCTGATTGCTGTCTTTTTTGTTCTTGTTTCAAGATTTGTTTTTTTTTTTTTATAGGAATGTTATTGCTTTGCTACTTTTAAAATAGGAATGAAAACTTTATGGAAAACTGCTTGTTCTAACTTTGTGCAGCTCTTGCTGTGGTGCCTTTCTACTGTGAGGTTGTCCCGTCTTCTCTTATGTACAGCATTACGGGTAACAAGCTTTAAATAACTGATTCATTTCAATACCACAGGATATTTTGCAACATGTGTTATTAAGTGGTTTATCTTAAAAACTCATAAAATAATTTTGAAGTGTGTGTAAAGATGAGGTGCATCTATCAGGCCAAAATATAAATTTCTGCTGTGACTGGCCAAGTATTTCAACAGAAATTCAATTATTAGATTATTTAAATTATTGTACTAAATGACAACTCTCAATCTGTGTCTGATCTGAGTGAAATATTAGGGAAATTACAAAGAATTTGCTAATTATCTTACAGTTTAAGGATAATGAGAGTTTTTTGTTTTGATGACATTTGTTAGACATTGAATCCAGGAGAGAAATTTGGTTTTGTCATCATTTGTTTAGACGACAGCTAATTAGAGCTGATCTGCTGCCGGGCAAACTTCATTTAAATCCATCCATCCATCCATCCATCTCTCTACCTATCCATCCATCTATCAATCATTGACTGGAATCACATTAGAGAATTAACTGAAGCCATGCTCTTGAAATAAAAACCTCTATTGTGAGGCAGCAACTTTCTCCGCCACATAGCATCTGGTAGGACTAGAATTAGGAAAATGATAGAAAAACATTACATTTTTACCTGTTATGAGACCCAATATTATAACATAAAGAGCTGGAAATCAACCATTTATACAGCATTATCATTTCTGCAAAAAAATTTTTACAATCTTGATGTAAAGATCTATAATAAGGGGAAACATACAGAAGAGTAAAATTCCATCCAAGGGGTGAATGATAGCACTGACAGGAAGAGTAATAATGCTTAGTGCACGTTATTTCAGAGCCTTATGGTTCCCACAGCTGGGCTCATACATCAACAAGTGTGGGGGGGCTTTGAGTTACATATATTGGTGAACTGATGGTATTTTATTGATTTGTTCATCCTCAAAGAGACTTGTGGCCGCCAACCGTTGAGTACAGATTATCATTAAAGTAATATTAGTAGTCAGTTAAAATAACACTCAGAGCTGGAAATCAGCTAAATTTCCCTTTTTTGACTCTAATTTCTTATTCTATTTCTCATCATGCACATGAAAACTAAGGAGCATCTAAACGGATCACACATTATGTACGTTTGTTGATGCACTTATTCATCTATTAAAAACAGAACATGCATAAAGTTTTGATGCATTCATGGGGATAATCTTCACATATCAACATGTAGTATATTTTTCATTTTAGCTTTTGTAATTTGCTGAACAACCAAAAAAAATGAAGCTGGAAAATTTGATAAACACTGACAACAACAGACTGTTGAATGATTTTAGATTCCAACACTAACGATGACGGTGGTTTGAAACAAACTCTAGATGAGACCATTTCTTACTCAAACAAAGACACTTTGTGAATTAAATGATCGCTTTTTTCCATCTTTCAGTAACAACAAAACAACATCTGCATGTTGCATCTATTCTGTAGAAAAATATGAGTTAAAATAACCCAGATATCCTAAAATCAAACAAATATTGAAGCAGTTAAAGGATGAAATAATCACTTTTGTTTGACATCAAGGTTCTGACTCATAACTGCATTTAAAAAAGGCCTAAAACTATCAAAAGATGGATACCACTCATCTCTAATGAACAGTACTTGCAAAAATCTTGAAAAGATGTAGACTCTCATCCATACTCATAACTTTCACTACAAACTGATGACTATATAAGCAGGAAAATAAAATCAATAATTGCATGTGTTTGCATTTTCCTGTCTGAAACTCTGACTGTAATTTTCTGGGGGTGTTTTAGGACAGCTGGAAGCAGATGAAAGGGATTTATACTACTTGGCTCTGCATTCGTTTTTGGAAGAAGAATTTGTGTCAGTGCATCTCACCATAACATAGTGTCTTTGGATCTCAGTCTTCTCTGTGGCCAGTTTCTCACACTCCAGTTTCAAACTGCAACAGAAGAGAATAAAAAACAAACTGTTTGGCATATCATCCTCCGATTTTAAACATACAATGCAATTAGCGACATAACAAATTACTCTTCCAGGATTCTTCTCATCCCCTCCCCTTTCCACTTCTGTCCCTTCATCACTCACCAGGGAGGAGGGAGCAGGGTGACTGGAGTGCTGACAGCCCATTATCACCTCAGAGCAGAGCAGAAATAGACAAAGTCACGCTTGGAGCCTGAAACCCAGCCAAGACTGCAGGGAGGCACATCCAAGGTGTCTCTTCACTTCGTGCACTTCCTCTCTCTGGACAACTTTCACTATACCCATGGACCTTCTTTCTCATGTCACTGCTTTCCTAATTATCTGCAAACCCTTCTGTCTTTGTGCACATTTGCTTCTTGTTTACAATGGGTTTTTTTTTTATTCAAGATGGAGCTTCATCTTTAAGGGTTGCAAAAATTAAAATCTAAGAGAGATATGTCCTTTGTTGTAGCTTGTATCCAAACACTCCCTTGCTGTCATGCTAAAACTGGACAGATATTTATATCCAGACTCATTCTGTTTTCCCTTTTGTGCTCCACTTTCCCTTAGAAATGAATTTCTCCACAGCACCTCAAATCTCAGCTCACCCTAAAGCAGGCACATTTGGGCCCTTGTCCATTTACACCAACTTGTTTGCAGGAAACAGATTGATTAGATGGGGGTGACATGGAGGTTGGTGGAAAGGGGTTGTGGTGCAGGGGAGGACTTTGGATGTGGGTGAAAGGAGGGTCATTTGCTGGGAGAAAATTAGAATATGATTAATACCGCAACATTACCCCCAGCCGCAACAGGTAATAACATCCCCGTCCGCTCTCTTCCTCCAGTGCTGCGCGCACACACGCCCATAATTGACTCATTTATCATTGCCAGCCAGTTGAGCAGACAAGGGAGGTGAGGGAGAGAAGCAGGACGAGAAGTAAAGAGGAGGTGGTGGAAGAAATGTAGCGAGGATTAAACCACACACCCACTCTCTAGATTTTATTACAGTGGAATTGGTTCTCGGCAGGAATCGCTCACAGCCAGGCTGAGAACGGCTGCTGCTGTTTGCAAGGAGCAACCAGTTTTACTTTAACTTTTAAAATCCCAACATTAATGAGCAAAAGCATTGAATAATGCCCATACTACACAAATTGCTCTACATTTAGACGGTCCAGTTAGAGGATGCATTTAGGACAATAACCTGCTTGTGTAGTCAACGTCCAATTTTCCACATATAAATGAAATCCAAAGTGAAAATTTTATGAACTTTTAAAAGCGAAGAAAAACTCATGTTTAGAGCTGCATCCCTGGAAAGCAGCAAAAAAATAAAAAATCTGACAGTTTTCAACTTGAACAATCTTGACTGCTGGAAAAAAAAGTGCAAAAAGCCGAGTTTTCCCATCAGTGAAAAGTTATGAGTCACATTTAAGCAAAACGCTCTCAAATGAATGATGTAAAGTGAAAACAAGACTAAAAGCTCCCTTTAGTATAATCAAAGCATTAGAAATAAAGACAAAATGTGCAGATCAGAGATGTTAGAAGGTTTTAAAGAGGAACACTATTTTCTAATTAATATTGAGACACATTTATAGTTAACTGTTGATTGATTATGCCTTGAGTGACATCTGTTGGGAATTGGTGCAAAATACATATATTGAAATAAAACCAGGCTTCAAGAGAGAGCAATGATACAACTAAAAGGAAGAAAACAAGACAAATGTGTCAGACTTTAAAAGCAAGCCCTGACCAAGTCTGACTTAAAAGTATAAAAAAAATGTAAACAAAATTACAGCAATTAAAAGGATTTAAAATACAAGTGCACACCCTCGCCACATTTCTTTTTACAGTAACAATTGCATCATATTTGTAAATGTTACTTGGTCTGTTCTGATTCCCTTCCCTTGATGAAGTGAATCTGCTGCTGCTGTGTTTGCAACTAACTCTGTTATAATTGTATTTTAATGTATTGTTATTACATTGTTGTGTGTTAGCAAGTCTAAGGCAAATTTCTGCCATCATTGTGTAAGGTAGACAATTTATAGACAGTTCTTTGATTCTATTCCATATTTTCAGAAAGAATTTATTGTAAAGTTAATTTCACAATCAGTTCTATTTCTGAAAACATTTTTCAAGCTATATTAAACAATAAAATACAATAAAATATAATCCCCACCCCCCACATCTTCTCTGTAACCTTATATCTCTAAAGTACACACAAACACATCCACCATCCAGATGTTTTTACTAGCCAACAGGGTACTGTAGGCTTTTCTAATGCTTTTAAATATTTTAAGGGTAGTTCTGACTGCTATAAGTAAGATGCAAACTAATTGTGATGTTTGAAGCTGCAAAATAAAATACATAACGGCCTGTATTTTTGACTGTGCGGCTAAATATGAAAAGTGTCAAGAATTCAATGGACATACAACACTTCATACAATTTGTAAAACATATAACAAACCAGACCATTCTGTAGAGCGCAAACATCCACCTAAATGTTTACTTATTCAGTCACCATTCAGTCACTTCTGCATGCACTTCAGGCAAAATAGCTCCAAATAGCTTTCCCTGTGCATTGATAATGTCCAAGGCATTTCTACATTTAACATTCTGAAATATGCTTGCCAGAAAACTAAAACGAAACTCAACTGAAATGTCTGAGCAAGTGCATAAACCTAAAATGTACAGAATGTGCCTCATAGATGATCCCTGAGCCCTCTGCTTTGGTAGACTGCCAACCTATTGCTCACAGCAAAACTGCACCATTTCATCCTCCTTTCTGTTATGGAAGAAGCTGGATTTGGAAAGACTGGCATTATGTTTTTTGGAAAACTGGGATATACAGAACATGCAAAAAGAGGATGCTTTTATCTTTTAGCAGTACTAACTGCTAAAAGAAGGTGCTAAACCCACTTTAAAGCCCTTTGATTCAACATAATTAGTCTTAGACTAATAAATCTCATCATCACGGGTTATAGAAAAAAAAAATCTCTCTACACCTGTAAAAAAAAAAAATATATATATATATATATATATACATCTTCTGCTTTTAAAAGCTGCACATTTAATTTATACAAACCAACCCACACAGACTGACAGCTCTTCTGCTTACAAAAAAGACCTGCATGTTGCACCAAGAAAGCAATAGCCTTTCCTCACAAATGAACTTCAAGGAATGGAATCACAGTGTGAGTGTGTAACCATTATGTGACTGCGAGCACAAAGGAGTTAGATTAGGTCGGGGGGTGGGGGGGAGTAAATGAGGGATAGGAGAGGAGTGAGGCAAGTAGAAAGTAGGCATTTCTTGTTGGAATGATTGCTTGTAATAATTAGTCTTTGGCAGAGCACCATTTACTGAGAGGAGGGAGAGAAGTTCCAGAGGAGAGAGAGAGAGACAGTGAATAGGAGAGAAAACTAGACTGAATGAGCGAGCAGGAGAGACACACAAGAGTGTGTGGTTGTCTGTGCTTGTGCTATGGTGGGCTTGGATCTTCCAATCTTTCACTGGTGGTGACAGCAGATAAGATGATCAGCTGAATGCGCTACAAATCTGCAGCTTGCAATCCTTTAGACAGCCCTGTCAGTGCTGCACAGCAACGACACCCACGCACAACATATAAGCATCAACACCTGCACATGCATGAGTATACAAAAGCATCATGCAGTGTATATACACACATAGAAGGTGCAAACATTACAATATTTTTTTATATACATACACACCAATACATCTGCATATTATAATGTAAGTCTGCAGACAGAGGCATTGCTGTGGATGACCTTCTCGTTTGAAATGTTTAATATGGGACATTCAGTATAAGAACATGTATCCAGCTTGGCTAAAGTAAAAAGGCATAGACTGTGTAAATAATACACTTTGTCTCACCAATACGATTAGACGCTACAGAGGTTGTAGAGACCATCTAACTGGACCCAACTTGCTGCACAGACAGAAACCCTGTATATACTGCATTTGCACTGGGATAGTTTTTTTCTCACATGCATCGGACCTGTGATGTTGGGATACACTCAATATATCAGAGTCCTCTAGTATAATAAAAATAGGTTAAAAGGAAAGGGTTTCATGGTATAATTGTATTCACACATATTTTATTTTTGCAAAACTGTACATCTGATTGCTGGTCACTTTTCTCCTTTGGATAATCAGGTAAATATATAGAATTAACATCTATTACATTCAGTAACAGCGAGAGCCTGATGGGACATCTGCTGTTCTGCTTTTTCCCACCAGAGTAAAACTGGTGGGAAAAAGCTGGGGTTGGCTGGTTAGTTTGAATATCTGTTCACACAGCCAGCTTCCAATATTCTGCTCAACCCACATGCCACCTTGTTGATTACCAGTGTCCTTTTAGAATATTGGCCCTTAACAGTGAGAGGTGGTGCTCTTCTTGTTTCTAGACCAAAGAACTAATTTTGTCTCTCTTGTTAATAAAGTATGTCTACAAAAAAAAAAAACTACTCTACACTTCCTTATAGTCACTGTGGCATTTTCTTTGGAATTTCCTCAAAAGAACTTGACTATCAACGTAGCAGGAAGAGAAATTTAGCAAGAATGAACCAAAACTTTTTTATTAGCTCAGTATAGCTTGATACTAACTGGGCAGTGCCAAGACCAGGATGTTCCAATTCACTCACCAGTATCTCAAGAAATACACACTGAAGGCTTTTTATTCTTAAAAATGTGTGGATTTCCTTTGGGTATCTTGGGATTCCCCCAGTCCAAAACATACATGCTGGTTAAACTGGCAGACCTATTAGCATTGATCAACTTGTTCTGTCCAATTGGCTTCAATAGTTTTCAATGGAGAGATTGTTGGAGCAACTTCCAGCCCAGTGAATGTCCATGAACACGACAATCTAATCCAAACAAACTTTATATATATATATAGCACTTAAAAAAAAACAATAGGACCAATGTGCTGAACAAAAGCGGAATTACAAAACATTTACTGCACTAAGATTAATAAAAAGTATGTAAAATAAATTAGTAAAAACTAAGTAGAAAATAAAAGAAATAAAACATAAAATCAACCAACAACGACCTTCTATTGAGTATCAAATGCCAGAGAGAAAAGATGAGATTTTAAAAGAGATTTCAAATAAAAGAGGAAGCCTGCCTGATGTGCAGCAGCAAATCATAGCAGAGTTTGGGACCGGCTGCAGAGAAAGCCCACTTCCCTCTGAGTTTACACCTCATTCTACTGACAGGAGTAATTGATCCACTGACCTAAGAGCAT